TATCTCATCACAAGTTGCTTCTCAAACAACAGCTATTTGACTTCCCAAGAAGACTGATAAGACCAGAGAATGGTTATTGAGATTTCAAAATGTATAACTATCATATGCCACAGCCATTGCTACCCCAACTGTCTGGTTTCGACACAGTCGACTATCTCCTTGGGTAATGTCAAATTTGTCAATACACACTACGACCCACAGCTTGAATATCCATATAAGATATCTAGGCTTTGTAAGATCTCTAAGCAATATAGCAGGGAGTGATGGAGATGATAGGAGGTCTTTCGAGCATCACTGAAGTCAAATTGTTTGATGTCCTCAACTACTTTGCAATTGCAAAATTCAGACACAATCCAGCAGAAACTGGAAGCTCACATGCCTCCATCTTCACAACATCACGACAGGGGGCCCTGTCACCCCTCAGCTGGAAAGCCGAGTGCTTGTTGACATACAATTGCAAGTCGTCATGCCAATTCTAGCGTACTCTGGAGTCTTGACATAATGCACAACTTTCAGATCACATGTGTTTTGTGCGTCTCACCGATAGAAATCCGTGGACAGTTTGAAAATGAAAGCGAAGAATTTCAAATGCTTCATAAACAGCCATGATACAGTGCATTAATATGGCACTCAAACGGACCTATCTTAACGGGCTGGGGTATTCATCGAACCCACGTTACCTAACTAAATCATGATATAATGTGATCTATCGGAAATTAGAGCATCTACGATGAGTCCACGAACTTCAACCCAACGGGCGAACTCTTCTTGGTAGATCTTAATGTCACCATCGCTCTGCTACTTGTTGCCACTGGCCTCGCATTTATTCCCTCACAGAAAACAGAAAGTTGTAGGAACAAGACAGGTTAGGAAACTATTTAATGAAAAAGAATTGAGAAAATTGAATAAAGTGGAAAGACATGAAGAATCACAAAAAACTTTTTTTTTTCTTTTTTTTGAAAAGTTTGATTATTCAGTTCCTGGGGAAAAGTGTGTTTGTGGAACTGATTAATAGTTAAAAAATCTTGACATGTTGGGTCATAACCTTTGGTTCTATTATTGGAGCATAGCGATTCTAGATTTTCCACTCCTCAAAGTTGGTCGACCAACCATATTCCCTGCGTTTGGTCGATCCGGAATTTTGAATAAAAATTCTTTTGGAATTTCGACTTGTTCCTTGGCGAGTTTCTATTAAAGGGCAATTTCCTTCTTTTTTCAACGTCTCTTTATTAGATATTCTTTATGCGATCATTTTATCCGCAGAGAGTGAAGCTTGTCGTTCGACGAAGAGCGCTGTATCAATTACACGAGTCATACAAAGAGATCATCATTGACGATTCAGCAAATCAAGCAAGGTTATTTCCTTTCCCACTTTAGTTTCCTCTATCGTCGAGTAGTGAAGTCCTTCAACAAGACCTCCTTCTCCCATCTTGAGACCTGTTCAACACGAGTATCAAAGAAGTATAGATAAAGAAAGAAAAAGAATAGGCTGAAAATATGGCAACAACAACATATATTCCTGCCGCTGATGTCAACAGCTATGACTATGTTATTGTCGGTGGAGGAACAGCAGGGTGTGTAATCGCCAGCAGGCTGGCCGAATATCTGCCACGGATGAAGATCCTCGTAATCGAGGCTGGCCCCAGCGATTTCAAAGATGACAGAATACTCTTGCTCAAGGATTGGCTCAAATTGCTGGGAGGACAGTTTGATTATGATTATCCAACGACTGATCAGCCGATGGGTACGTTTTTTCTCCCTCTTTTGCTGTTGCTAACGGTTCTGCAACTCAGCCAACTGTGATGACCTAAATGGTCCATCAAATCGACAGCACCCTCTCCGACTTTCTCATGGTGCTTACTTTTCGTCTTTTCATTTTCTTGGTTGTAGGAAATAGCTATATTCGGCATTCACGGGCCAAGGTGCTTGGTGGCTGCTCCAGTCATAATACCCTGATCTCCTTCCGCCCCTTTGAATATGATTGCAAGCTGTGGGAGAGCATGGGTTGTAAGGGCTGGGACTTCGAAACCTTTACCCGCGTTTTGGATAACCTTCGCACGACTATCCAACCTGTACACGCTCGGCACCGGAACCAGCTATGCAAGGATTGGGTGAAAGCTTGCTCTACTGCTCTGCATGTCCCTATCATTGAAGACTTTAATAAGGAAATCCGCTCCAAGGGGAAACTGGCAGAGGGCGTTGGCTTCTTCTCCGTTGCCTACAATCCTGATGATGGGCGTAGGAGCAGTGCAAGCGTTGCGTACATCCATCCTATGCTTCGTGGAGAGGAAAAACATCCAAACTTGACTATTTTGACAGATACTTGGGTCTCTCGGGTCAATGTTGCGGATGATACCGTTACAGGAGTCAACATTACCCTCCAATCTGGAGAGAAATTGACCGTCAATCCTAGAAGGGAGACCATCCTTTGTGCTGGATCAGTAGATACCCCTCGATTGCTTCTGTTATCTGGAATTGGCCCCCGGGAGCAACTGTCCTCTCTCTCAATCCCCGTGGTGAAGGACATCCCCGGTGTAGGCGAGAATCTTCTTGATCACCCAGAAACAATCATCATCTGGGAACTTAACCAACCCGTTCCTCCCAACCAAACCACCATGGACTCCGACGCAGGCATTTTCCTCCGCCGTGAACCTTCCAACTCAGCTGGCTTTGACGGCGATGCTGCAGATGTCATGATGCACTGCTACCAAATTCCATTCTGCGTCAACACTGAGCGTCTCGGGTACGACGTTCCCATAGATGCCTTCTGCATGACACCCAATATCCCCCGCCCACGCTCCAGGGGTCGACTCTATCTCACCTCGTCCGATCCAAACGTGAAGCCCGCGCTTGATTTCCGCTACTTCACCGATCCAGAAGGTTACGACGCCGCGACCATCGTTGCTGGGTTGAAGGCGGCGCGTAAAGTCGCACAGCAATCCCCATTTAAAGAATGGATTAGGCGAGAGGTTGCACCCGGTCCCAACGTAACGACTGACGAGCAGCTGAGCGAGTACGGGAGGCGTGCTGCCCACACTGTTTACCATCCTGCTGGAACAACGAAGATGGGCGATGTTCAGAATGACCCACTTGCTGTGGTTGATCCGCAGCTGAAGATTAGGGGGCTGAAGAAAGTCCGCATTGCGGATGCTGGCGTCTTCCCTACCATGGTAACCATCAACCCGATGTTGACGGTGCTGGCTATTGGTGAGCGTGCGGCGGAGCTTATTGCGGAGGAAGCGGGATGGAGGAGACACGTTCCTAAACTATGATGATTCTTTTAAAGGGCTGTATACATAACGCTGGCACTCACATTGCGTTTTTGGATTCCTTTTTTAACTTCCATATCTACAAACGAAATCTTTTCAAATGTTTCGCAGATTGCTTGGCTGATTGGGAGGAGTCGTTATACTTACTCTCATCCCGTCTTAATAACCATATATATATTTTTATATTGCTGCGCATGTTGTCGTTCGCAGCAGAGCGGGATCGCAAAGAGTATTTGGGCCAATGCTGGATGGGAAGATTCTTGTTATAATACTTTTGCGAACATCTGTAAGGTACATAGGCATAAGAGAGAAATTATCTGGTGGCTTTTCTTTTTCCTTTCTCACGCCTATTACCCCCCATCGCAGTGGCAAAGCCGGAACGGCTGACGAAAGCGTTTTAAATGTATCGGCACCACAGCCCTTGCCGAAAATGCTGACTGTTATATACAGGTCGGACCCTCCAGCACGTGACCCCCCTTCCACGGTGTATGGTCGTTCTCGTAGTTAGCAACCTTTGCAGTGAACCAAGCCTGCCATTTGGTCAGGTTATTCCACGTTATTCTAGAGATTGTGAGTTTCTGGGCTTGAAAGTGTGTGGTCTGCTAGCTCGACTTCCAGAGCTGTTTATGACCACGGCCTCGTCCTATCACTAAATGCGGGGAGCATTATATATGAAACGCAAGTATACCATTCAACTATCCAGAGACTATTCAGCACAAGTCTCCTTTTTGCAAGAGGTGATGGGTATAATTTTCTCTGCCTTGCCGCATGAAAATCCATCGACATAGCGTTCGGTCATATCCTCCGGAGGCATGATCAAAGAAAAAAAAAAAAAAAAAAAAAAAAAAGGAAAAAGAAAAAGAAAAAGAAAAAGAAAAGAAAAGAAACGAAAAAAACCGTTAGATTTCTTTGCTTAACACGGCATGAAACCTGTCAGAAACTGGAGTCAACCACTCACCAGGTTTGTTTCGATCTCAGCCATCCACTAATCAGCAGGCATGTTGACACGAATGCAGGTACCTCATGCACGGTTAGTTCAATTAGCAATGCGGGCCGGTTTGTCCAACCTAGGGGTTCTTATGGGTTTATTGGTTTCTACCATAGTCCCTGAAACATGTATATCGAACTCGAACTCGTTCAAACTCCGCTATGTGCAATCAAAGTGCGGCCCCTGATGAACGGTACACATCAGACGGTTCATGCTTACCTGAGCGATGTATACCTGTTCTTATTCAAACCCAGTCAGAACATCGAAATAACGAACCTATACTGTTCACTGGTCGCGGTACATTGGTTGAGATCATGTTGAAAGCTTCAGAATTGGGGAACTGGGCCGTTTCCTAGAGCTTCTGACCATGTGGCACCCAACACCAACACGAAACCCTTTTTGCAGAACGAGAGAGCTCCCAGGGCAATGCTCTACTGTCTATTCACGGCATCATTGTTAACTTTGCTCTCAAAATCAAGCCTCCGTTCCGGGAGGGGAATTACTATTATAAACCTCTTGACACTTTCTTTTCCCTCCCTCTCTCTGCTTTATCCTTCGGGACTAAAAGCAAAACAAAGCATTTTGTCATTAATGCAATGAAACACAACTCCCCACTCTCATTCATTCCCCGACCCCTCCTCTCCTCCCCAGATACACCACACCAACTACTCCTTAACAAAACATCCTAGAGCTACTCGTCCTCCTCCCTCACAACGACCAATCCCATCACACCTCCCGCAAACATGAAGCTCCAATTCCTCATCTCCGCCTTCGCCTTTATCAGCAGTATCGTCAACGCCGTCGCCCTGCCTCCATCCCATCAGCCCGGTGACATGCCTGACCCCCTCGCCATCCGCGATGGCAGGCCCAGCGGCGCAAACTGCAATTCTGTCCCACAATGCTGCAAGGCCACCCACTCCAGTGAGGACAGGTTGGTCATCCAGGGACTGAAGTTGTTCGGGTTAGATCAGGAGGCCGGGAAGAGCAAGGGCTCTGTTGCCACCCAGTGTAAGTTTCGATGCCACTTCTTTACTGAATATAGGAGGATTGCGCTGACCGGAGAGATGTTTAAATTGGAAAATAAAACAGGCAAACAGATAAATGAAGAATTAAACCTCGATCTAATTAATGGATGCAACTCTAATGCTGTATGCTGCGCTGATAACAAAATGGTAAGTTTCTCATTTACTTATACATGACATATAGATATCCCGTTTGCATTTTGCGCATATACTTTCGGTACCGTATAACTAACTCTGCCTCAACAGAACGGCCTTGTATCTCTCGGCTGCATCCCCATCACACTCAATATATTAAATCAACTTCCATTCTGCAGTCGAAAGGGCCCGCGTTTGACTTGTTCATTGACTAGGCGGGGAACTTTTTTCAAGATGGGAGAGAGTCAAAAGAAGGAGTGAGAGATTTGTTTTGATTTTTTTTTTTTTTTTTTTTTTTTTTTTTTTATTTTCTTCGTTTTCCAGGTCTATTTTGTATTGAGCACGTGCATCGAACGGTCAACTCACGAATATCAGGTGAGATGACATGGATACATCATTGCTTACGGCAGACACACATTCTTATTTTGTTAAAACTAACGTTAGCTTCGCTTTACTATATTATTTGAATTGTCAATTTGCATTGTGAAAACTTATCTTTTTTAATGCTGGTGATAAAGGAGGAGGAGCTATATATAGTACAGCACTTCATGGAGGGTAGCAGTGAGAAAAAGGGGCGAACCAGACAAAAAAATTGACACAACTCAAAACAGAGCTGAAACCAACCAGAATAACCTGTAACAAATATAACTCCATATTATGCAGAATGAAATGAGGAAACATGGCAATGCCTGGTATCTGAAGTATCTCTATACATAGTATTCAATCTGTTATATCCATAGTCATGCAGTATAATAACAAATGCAAGTCACAAGTGATGAATGCATGAAGAAAAAGCAAGCAAGCAAGGAGATGTACAGGCTGTCAATGTCAGTTGCAAGAAGGGAATATCTTCGCTTTTTGGAAAAGAGAGAAAGAAAAAAAAAAAAGGCAATCGAAGCATGCACATCAACCGCTCCACCCCGTATCTCTTTCCATCCTCGCCACACCCCCACCGCACCCACCTACATCCAATCCCTCACATCCTTCTCCCGATCGAAAACCCTAACCCCAAATTTCCAAACCTGATCAACGGTCAGCGTCCCTTCCTCGTCCTCCCCCAGAACAACCATATCCGCATCGGCCCCAGGAACCAACACCCCCTTCGTCCCAACAAGCCCCAGCATCCTCGCCGGCGTCTCCGTCACCGCTCTAACAGCCTCCACAACCCCAGTCCCCGCCCACCTCCTAAAATTATTCACACACTCAATCAATGTTGCAGACGACCCGGCAATCTTCCCCACCTCCCCATTCCCATTCCCATTCCCGTCACCACTCCCATTCACGGAACTCTCCAGCGTCAGCAACGGGCCCCTCTTCACAATCCTCTCCCCGTTCGTCCACTCGTACACCCCATCCGGCATCCCACACAGCTTCATCGCATCCGTAACAAGCACCATCCCCCTCGGATGCGCATTATATGCAATCTGAATGCTGGTCGGATGCAAATGGATGCCGTCGGCAATCAGGCCGTAGAAGGGCCTCTTGGTATGCGGGGACTGGTGGCCCAGGAGCCCGAAGATGCCTGGGTGGCGGTGGTAAAAGGGCCGCATGGCGTTGAAGAGATGGGTTATCATCGTTGCGCCGTTGGCGAGGGCGTCGAGGGCTTGTTCGTAGGTTGCGTCTGAGTGGCCGATGGAGAAGATTATGTTTTCCGCGACGAGGGAGGGGATGAGGGAGTTCATTAGGCCGACCTCGGGGGCGGCGGTGATCATTTTTATATTTGGGGTTGTGCGGGCGGAGGCGGCGGCGGAGGCAGAGGCAGAAGTGGCTGTGGGGGTTGTGGCGGGATCCATATTGGAGCTGCTGGTGGTTGGCGGGAGGAGGTTTTCGGCACCGTAGCAATCGATCAGATCCTGGAAACCTGTGTTGGCGGCTATAAGGACGCTGGGGCTGTGGATGCCGTTTTTGCCAGGGCTGAGGAAGGGCCCTTCGACATGGGCGCCAAGAGATTCCGCCCCGTCTACGGGACGGCGGGATCCACCGGAAGGGCCGAGGGACCGGAGGACCTAGGAATGTTTAGATATCAGTTATTGGGGGTGTGTGTGTTTTATGTATGGTATAATATTTTATACTGTGAGATATGTAAGGGATACATACCTCTTTATACACCCAGCTCTGCTGGCTCGTGACCGTAGGCAAATACGATGTCACGCCCATCTTGACCAGCGCCTGGTTCACCTTCAACAAACCCGCATCATACTCTTCCTTCGTCGCTTGCGGCACGGAGAAGTCGAAACCCCTAGCTCCGTTGAGTTGCACATCGATGAAGCCGGGGGTCAGGATGCGGCCGCCCAGATCGATGATTTGGTCTGGACAGAGCTGGTATTCGTAGAAGGCTTGTTGGTCCTGAAGGATCTTGCCGGAGAAGGAGTCGACCCAGAGATCTTGCTCGATGAGCTCGTCGTTGTGGGGGATGCGGCAGTTGGTGAATTTTGTGATGCGCGGGATTGTGGTTGGCTGGGTTATGGAGGGCATGATGGGTGGCGTATTGTGTCAATGTATATGGAATTGGGTGGGGGATGTTGTATGACGAGGATGAGGATGAGGGACGATGAAGGAGTAAATAGAAGATAAAAAGATAAGAGAAAGTATATAATAATGAAATTAGTTCAGGAAGAAGAAGCTTTGTTTGTAGAGTGATTCTCGGGAGTTAATCGTACTGTATACTCTACGCCACAGTTCCGGCGAGGATCCGCTGGGGACATGCTCCCTTTGTAGCAGAAGAGGAGGATAAGGTAGAATAGATGATGCAGTAATAGACGTTATATTCATCAAGCCCATAGATGGGATAGCATACGGGCACAGGGGAGAGATAAGCGGCGGCAAAAGGGAAAAAACCCGCTAGACGGCGGAGATATTGAAGCCGGGACAGTCTGTCTGTCAGTCTGCAGAAGCACTGATGAAGAATAGTAGTAGTAGTAGTAGTGGTAGTGGTAGTAGTAGTAGTAGTTCGGGCTGTCCAAATACGATGTAATGTGGCATAATTTGACGGCATCCAGGCTCCAGATAGAGTAGGTTTTTTAAAACTACCTGTCAGCTTCATACTCTTATTTTCATTTCTTTTTATTTATTAATTTTTTATTCTATTTTATTTTGTGATATAATGGTAGTGTAGTAGCTAGTATTGAAGGCATGGATGTCGTAGCATTCCTCAACAGCGCGTGGGTCGGAGAGAGCTCCCCATTGACCCATTCACCAACAGGGCCCCGACAAGCACAAGGCACCAGGTCACAGGTAGAGTGGGATCTGTTGTTCCCTGGAGAAGCAGCAGCTTGATTGAAGTGTGAAGAGATCTGAGCAACAACAGGTGAATTTGAATTAAATAAGTTTCTTCCCTTTTTTCTCATCTTCTCCCATCGCCGGTGAGTCACTGGATCGCCGACCAGTGATGTCATCATTGAAAATGGGCCAAAGTTACCGCATGGAAATAAATACTGGAAGCAATACAAGTCGGTTACAAGCCACAGTAAGTTATGTATGGTACGGCAGAGACGCTCGTTCCCGTAATACACATCATAGCAACTCCCGCCTGATACGAAATACACAGGCGCCGTGGTATCGCGGCGGGAACTTACCGGGACCCACAGAACTATTGTGGAGTTCCCGGCATTTGATGAATGGATGGATACACACCATTCATTTCTTTGCCAAAGCTCGACGAGCCCAGAGACGAGACGACGAGAGAGCTATGGGCATGTGGATGCCGCGAGGTGTTCAATGCTCGTTCTTGCAGGGCTGGATCAAGAACGAGCATTGCAGGGCTGGATCGGGATCCTTGAAGCTGGCAGGGAGGAGAGGTTGACATGTAACAGCTACAGTATCCTTCTGACCATGACGATATGTGGGTGTAGGTGGGTGTAGGTGTATTGGAGGGGTGTATTGGAGGGGGGAAGGGGAAAGGGAGGGGAGGAGAGGAGACATGCCGATTCGACGATTTGACACTGGAATCAGATGTCTCCAAGACCCCGTGCCTGAGCAGAGACTCATGGAGTTGCTGTTAGTTTGTGAAGTTAACCAGGTTCATAGCTGGAAGAATCCCAGTAAATAATAAATCGAATAGGTGTTAACTTGGGCCAATGGTAGTTAGTTGATATAATAATATTAACAAACGAGAGGGGGGTGAACCAGGCATAGGCATGGATGTACAGCATAGTAAATAAACCTGTTCGACGCGATCCGAAGTCAACGAACCTTGTTGATTGGATTGTGGTCATGGGGGGGCAAAATGTGCGCAGGTGATATGAAGAAACAAGGCATGACAACGGCTTGAGTGGAAGATTATTATTTAGCTGGTTGTTCCCGCACTTCGTCTCGTGGGGGAACCAAAATCCCACCGTCGCTGAACCATGGTATGTAACCTCAAGCACTAAGCATTAAGCAGTGCAACGCTGTGGCGAATGGTGGCGCCAGAGAGGAAAAAATTAATAAGATTAACCAAACAAATTGCCCGGGCCCCCAGGTGGAAAGGCATTCTATGTGGCGTAAAACTAAGGAATTTATAGAAACAAGGCTAGGAAAATCATCTTCATTTCTTTTTCTTCATCTGTCGTTCTATTTGACAACGGCTTGGAGCAGGCCAACGGGGGCAATTTTTGCTTCGATCGATCCGTACGAGAGAGCCAAGAAGGGAAAAAGTCAAAAATGGGAGGATTATTTTTGAATTTATATTAAACGTCGGACAGGGGGGGATGGCTGACTGGGTTATTGTGTGGGGTAATTTATTTTACGTCGGTTAATCCGGGGTTCTGGGGAAGAACGTGAAAGAGTTTTCCATGAGGATGTGGATTGGACGGCGGGGTCAAGAAAAGGTTATCAGTTCTATAGGGCAGCTGAAACAGAGGTGCCCAGATGCCTGCAGTTTTGCACATTCCATAAACCATAAAAGATGATGTTTGAAAGAGAGAAAATAAACGTGTTTATCATGTTTACTCAGATGAATCATTTATCTATGATAGCTCTTTTTTGATGGATGTATGTATGAATGTAGAAGTAGATCTTGAGGTACATCCGCCGTAGACTGAGAGACGAATGCGCTTGTGATAGACACTTTTAGCCCTCCGCAGCCCCTGGGGCAAACTGGTAGCCAATGAGATCCCGACTGTTTAACCCGCCCCCCTGAGTTACGGCTGACAGAAACAGAGCTCCTTGGCTGTTCCAAGAACTTTCAGATTAACCAACTTTTAGCGAGGGGAAAAGAGAGAAGACAGGGCTGCACGGTACAAGTCAAGACTCCGGAAGTTCTGCGTTTCTTTTGTCGCCCTCCGTCTCTACCGCGGTCCGTTTTCTCTCGTGGTTGGCATAAGCTATACGAAATGATCATTCCACCCACCCACCCCTGGTGAGTTTGATTGATAGATTGGATGTACAAGTACAGCGTTTTCCGGTAGGAATCAGATGTCGGGTATGTTAACTCCCAGTAGCTCGTTTATATGATCTGTTACGGTCTCCCTCCTCGCTTCGATCCTTTCGACTGCAATTCCTCTATTCACTCCTCGTCTGCTGCCCAATGTACCTGTACATACATACATACATACATACATACATACATCTCTGATGCTGTCGCGTGTTAAATTGATCTTAGCACCAATCTCATCCCTCATCGGCAGCTATCCTGCACAGGTTTTACCCCATACTACTCTGCTAACCCTACTACTGTCTCATCCGCCAGCCAACGCCATTGATAACGCCAACCCGCCATCTGCCAGGTGAATCAGCGATCCACTCTCATTGACTACGACCTTTTCTCTCCGCCTGGTCTCATCTTAGCTGGTTTCTGGCTCGTCTTGGCTAGTCACGTATACCCACTTATTCTCACGCGCGCAACGAACTTATCTCACTTACCACCACCACTATTGACTACTACCACCGCGACAACGCCTTTCTTTTCTCTTATTATTATTATTATTATTATTTTTTTTTTTGCATTTCGACGCTTTTTCGCTCTTCTCTTCTTCGAATTCCTTCGTCTACTTCGTTTGTAACCTACAGTAGCAGTGACCACGACAAAAGCAAGCTGCTAGCGGCTAATGGCAAAGCAGACGACCCTAATATCCTGATAGAGTCAAACCCACTTGAAACCGTCTTCCTCACTCATCCATCATCCTCTTGTCCGCTCGCCAGCCTCTAACTACTTCGTCTTCTCTTCTTGCTCCTCTTTTTCCTCTTCCTCTTCTTCTTCTTCTTATTATTAATCTCCCCGCCCCCCCTCCCTTGCTAAAGCTGCTCTCGAAACCCTGCTTTTTTAATTTTTTTTTTTTATTAAATTGATATTAAACCACGGCATCTCCCTGTCCCCGTGTGTTCTCTTCTCTGGTTGTGAGCTGGGCTTTCTTTTCTTTTCTTTTCTTTATTTAATTCCCCGGATTCCTAGCTGCAGCGGCGAAAGCTTACTGGTGTGTGGAGAAATCATCCCGCGTCGTCCAGGGTACTTATTTATTACCCTCCTGTCTTCTCCCACATTATATCATTGTGCCGGTTGATCTGCCAACTGTTTCAACTGCTTAACTGTACAACGGTTCAGTTCCGTCGAGCGTGTGTTGATCGATCTCCTTCTTTGATCGGGTAGGGAACTGTTTTCCTTCAAGCTTCTACTCTTCCTCTCGTTGCTGTGGCTGTATCTTCGTTGCTGTTTACCACTACACCTCGACACATCTTTTCAACCATCCGCATTTCACATCAACCAATATCAGCATACGGTGCATTGTTTTGGCTGACCTTGAATTAACTATTTTGAGACCACCGCGCTTTTGTTACGCAGCTGATATTCCACCTTTTCAGCACCAGTACTTTTCCACTCCGCCAGTATCTGTATACTCCATTACAGCTCTCCCCACTTTGTATGCAAGTCATTCGCATTATTTACACAAGATTCACTCTGGACCTGAAAATCATTTTAAAGAGAACACAAAAGGTCTATTAATATCTTTTGCCCTGTTTTCTTTTCTTTTTCTTTTGTTTTATTTCTTTTATTTATTACCGCAGTTGCTATGTTTTGTTTATTATTTGTGTTCCTATCCGTCATACCTCTCAAATGGAGTCCGGCGTTCCCCACCCCTCACTTCCACACCATAATTCTACCCATTCTCCTGCCCTCTTGCACTCTACTTGAACAAAGTTATCTGTTCGTTTCTTTCTCCATAATTGGATAAACTGACACTCCCAGGACCAAATAGACACGGTAATCCTGGCATCAGTCTTAGCCCTACAGCGCCGACTACACCCTCACCATGTCGCTTCACGGGGAAAAGTCCGGAGACCCCCATGTGGAAAAAACAATCGATGAAGAAGCCCCCCACCAAATCAATGCCAACCCAGTTGGGCGAGCATGGATGTACAAGAGCTTAAAGCTTGGCCCCCTGACTCTGCCTTACTATGCTTCTCCCGCTACCCAGCTTCTCCTGGTCTCCTTCGTCTGCTTCTTGTGTCCTGGTATGTTCAACGCGCTTAACGGCTTGGGTGGAGGTGGCCAGCAGGACGCCCACGCTGCCAACCAGGGAAACACAGCTGTCTACAGTACCTTTGCCGTTGTTGGTTTCTTCGCCGGTTCCATTGCTAATCGTATTGGTCTGCGCTTTACCCTCTTCTTTGGTGGGTTTGGTTACTTCCTCTACGTTGGCTCCATGTTGTCGTATAACCACAACCGTAACCTGGGCTTCTTGACTTTTGGCGGTGCCTTGTTGGGCGCCTGTGCTGGTTGTCTGTGGTGTGCTCAGGGAGCGGTTATGATGAGTTACCCCGAAGAGAAGTCGAAGGGTAAATACATCTCGTGGTTCTGGATCATCTTCAATCTGGGTGGTGTCATTGGAAGTTTGGTAAGTTGCAATTTGCAATCTAAACAGGGGAGAAAGAATAAAAAAATTATAAAATATAAAATATAACTAACTTTCCAACTAGGTCCCCCTTTTCCAAAACCTACACAACATCTCAGGAAAAGCCGTCGGCGATGCAACCTACATCGCCTTTATGGTCCTCATGTTCACAGGTTTCGTCCTCTGCATTGGTCTCGTGGAAGCCAAATATATCCGCCGCTCAGACGGCTCCCAAGTTATTGTCATGAAGAACCCATCCTGGCTTTCCGAATTCAGGGGTCTCTGGCAAGTGCTCCGAACAGACTACTACATCGTTTTGCTGTTCCCCATGTTCATTGCCTCCAACTGGTTCTACACATATCACTTCAACAACGTCAACAGCGCCAAGTTCAACATCCGCACCCGTGCGCTGAACAGCTGCCTCTACTATCTCGCCCAGATGGCCGGTGCCGGTACGTTTGGCTACATGCTCGATATGAGGTCGCTGCGCCGCACTACGCGTGCTCGTCTTGGTCTTGGTCTTCTCTTCGTCATCACTATGGCTATCTGGGGTGGTGGATATGCCTGGCAACGCGGCTATACCCGAGAGCAAACTGCACCCAAGGACTCGCCACGTATCGACTGGGAAGATAAGGATTATGTTGGTGGCATGTTCATGTATATCTTCTATGGCTTTTACGATGCCGCTTATCAGACCTGTGTGTACTGGTAATAATTCCCCCCCCCTTTTGTTTTGGATTTTCTTTCCTCCGTTTTGGAAAGACGTATATCTAACGCAACAAAATCCAGGTTCATGGGCGCCCTCACCAACAACAGCCGTAAACTAGCCAACTTTGCTGGCTTTTACAAAGGTCTCCAATCCGCCGGTGGTGCCGTTACCTGGCAGTATGTTTCTCCCCCCCCCCGGCCGGCCCCCGGACCCCAGCTACTGGCTATCAACATACCCTCTATATAAATACTAACCCAACCAACCAGAATCGACGACAAGAAGGTCTCCTTCATGGCCAGCTTCGCCATCAACTGGGGACTGCTCTGCGGCTCCATCATCATCGCACTCCCCGTCATCCTGTTCAAGATCAAAGACACCGTCGATCTGGCGGAGGATATCAAGTTCTCCGACGAGACGATCGAGGATGTTGCGCCAACGTCTATGTTGGAGGATCATGGACTGTCGGGTGCTCATGCAACTGGGATCGAGAAGATGTGATTCGAGTTCGTTTAATCGTTTCGTTGAGGGGTTGAGAGATTTGGAAGTGATTACTATGGTGAGGTGATAGGGAGGTGGATGGACGTTGGTTTATAGCCGACTTCTTTTTTGTGATGGTGGTGAGAAGTACGAGGAATGGGAGCTATATGTTGAAGGCAGTAGTGGTAGTGGCCTGCCTTGTTTGCGGCGATTTGAGTGCTGTGATTGAAACTCGTTTTATACTCCTCCTGTTTAACAGCGTCGATTGACTTGCTTCAATAATTTTTTTTTCTTGTGTCTATTAATGAGTCTTCACTCTTCTTTTCTTCCTTTTCTTCAACCCCTTTTTTTAAAAATTTAATTTTGGCGGCTCCTGTAATAGGTGTGCCTCTTTTGAGACACTTCTCTCTTTTTCCCTCTTTTTCATTTTATTTTTTTCATATTTTTTTTTTCTTTTTTTTCTCTTTTGTTTTTCATGATTTGTCTAATGTTACCCCGAGGTTTTGTTAAAGGTTTTTTTTTTTTTTTTTTTAAATGATACGATTTATCATAACTTTAATTCCCTTCCGTTTTACGATGGTATGGGAGTTGATAGCGACTAGATAGGAAGCGAGAGAAATGATTTAGTGGTCGAGAAAGAAGGAGAGAAAACGCAGCCTTGCATTTTATACGCCAAAGGAGGCCGGAGGTGGCTGAGATTGGGCTTAGAAGATGAGATATAGGAACAAGGGGAATAGTATATAGTTTGTGCTATATTTTTATTTATTCTCTTTTTAGCCTCAATTTGCAATGTAATTGATTCCATGTGCTTTCTAATTTGATTCCACCGTGGGCAGTGTTATTAACGTAGCTGTCTATAAATTCCCATGGCTACAGCGTTTGCGGGTTAAATGTAAATACGTTCCCTGACTCTGGGGTAACGAGTGGGACAGCGGGAGGTACTAGCCCCGCATTCCACACTGCAGTCCCAGAGGGGCTTCCTCTTTCATTTGCTGGGTGGGTGGAAGCATACGGGGGTGGAGCAGGGTGGAGCGGCGAGGAGAGAAATGATACCTAAGAATGCGCATCACTCTTATGTCCGTGGGAGGATATATTTAACATTGATAAGGAGGAGTCATTGGTGTATTTTGGCGAATAACAGGCTTAAGTTATTCCCATGGAACTACGAGAAACAATCCATCAGCGGCGACGAGGGATTTCCAGTTTGTTGGCAGATATTCCCAAAGGATAACCCATCTATGCACTGCTGACAGTCCTTAGCTCGCGGTAGAGGCCGATCAAAACTTCACTACCCAGGGTCGTAAACAGCGCGCTGAATGCTGATTTTGAGGAGAGCGTGGTGTACACTGGTGTTCAGTTGTGGTATCACTGATATGCACGACCTTTCCTTATATTCGTTCCCACTTGTTCGGCAGCGGGCAGTTATCTCTACGCAGACTACGTCGTGTTCTGAGTCTCCCCGGAATTCGACGCCCTTTCGCGCTCATGACCATTGCCGAATTGCGGTTGTCTGCCTCGAAAGGCTAACGAGGAGGAAGCAAGGTTGCCTGTGGAACAAGTGAAAGTATGGGCTGAAGGAATGCTGTTGGGTTCTGCAATTGCTCAGAGAGATGACACTGTGTAACTGGCTAGCAGAAGCCATTCGCGTTTGCGGCCCTCCTCTTCAGCCTATCGAAGGAAAAATGGCAGCCAGGGGTCGACGATGATGAGCCAAGTCGCAGGAAACACTCCTTACTACTTGGGGTTCTATTTCATGAAGAATCAACCGCCGCAAATCAATATCGATTCATGTGTGTTATGGTAATAAATCACCACTAAAAATTCCGTTCATTTCTTTGAGCTGCGAAAGTTGCAAACGGCGCTGGATATGTCGGGAGGCACACACACGTAGCTCTGCAGCTTCTCGCGAGGTAACTCGCTAGAGCAGGACTATTCAATTAGTGAATGTCGTTGCAATGGCACAGCTAGTTACCATTAGTTAACCCAATTGGCCCATTGAGAAATTGGTCGATTATCCATCCAGAAGCTCGACCCGTAGTTGTTCAACCAGGCTAGGACGTAACAGTCCATTACTGTGCCGTTGTCGATGTCCACCTTGGACACCTTTTAGCGGCCATCTTCGTTTAATCTTCAGAATGTTCTACGCCCGCAGCTAGCGTTGCTATTTTGCGCACGCGCCGAACGCCAGCGGAAATCAATCAGCCTTGGGAAATAACAAGGGCCCTGGCGAAAGTTAGCTGGAAGACGTGCATGTTGAACCGGTTGGAGCAACATAAGAGACATTGCCTTTTAGGGTGGAATTTCAAGACCGTATATTCTGTGGACGAATCGTGGCAGGTGGTAATTGATTCGATGTAAGGGAAAGCGATGGAGCATCCCTCCCCTCATGGATCTCTCGGCTGGTTTCATGGAAAATTTACGAGGTGCCAAAAATAGGGCATTTTCTAACAAGACTTTACGCACGGAAGGCTTGTTTTTCTTCGTATCGGATCCTTGACGAAAGGGGGCTGGAGAGGAGCAGTATGGCGCTCAGAGAACTTGACCTCAAGGCTATCCAGCGAGGACTGAGTTTTTAGGCGCTTATTGGCGCTATTAATTAACTAGGGATAACCCTTGGCAGCAGCGCTAGAGCTATATATAACTGGGAAACAGGGGGTGATAGGTACAACATAGATCTAGACCCTGCCGCCAGCACCCCGACCTCACGCTTGGCTATGAGAGAGACTGTACCCATGTATGTATATATATATATATATATATATAAGGGGGATCTCGCGGAATCATATGATATTAACCATACTTTGTCTAGATCAGCTCGTTCAACCAACAAGCCCTATACTGGTCACCATGGCATGCGCCAGTTCATCCATCCGGCCGGCTTTAGACTTTAATCCTTCGTGAATGGCGCATAAAAGTTGAAACGACGATCCGGATCATATTTATCCTTCAATTTCCGCAGCCTCTCCAGCCGCCATGGTTCATATCCATACCAGCTCTGCGGGTCCTCTGCTCCAAAAGCGGAGTTGACGTACACCTTTATTTTCTCCTGCCCGCCGCCTTCGAACCAAATCTGGCGCATGCGTTCGCCGTAAGCATGCGCCTCCGCATCCCGTTTGGCGCCAGCAGGTTCATATCCGGTGATCACGGAGATTAGCAGGTTCGCATCCCGGTAAGGAAACGCTGTAGATTCAGATGGAATTGCCTGTACCCCTTGGACAGTGTAGCCTTGAAAAAGGGCTACGGACTTATTAAAGGCCGGATTCTCCCGGGTAACCCGTGAGAAGAGGTCAAAGGCTGCGCGTTGTGCTGTTGTATTATACTTTTGCAAATACAGTGAAAAAAAGGTATTGGCCAACCCAACCTTTTGGCAGGCTGGCGAGTCATTGGTGTTGCCAACCCATCTGGAGATGTCTTTATGTGTCCCTTTTCCGCTTGTGGTCACGATGGGATCGACTCTGGAGAATGAGTCTGCGTACTTGGCTTCAATGGCCTCCACCCCCTCCTGGAATATGAATAATAAAATGACGGCCTGTCAAAAGTCAATCACATGTTGTCGATATCCTGCGGGTGATATGCTGGAAAGGGCGGCTTACATGGTCCGAGTCAACTTCCGGTTTGTTCAAGAAGAGTGAGAAGTGAATTAGATCTACCGGCTGAGTTCCATCTTTCAATAAATTATCGTTAATTGCTTGATAAACGCCCTCTACTTTGTCATGCGTAAAAATGAACGATTGATAGGACCACTGGCCATCCTTTTGAATATCGTAGATTTTCGACGTGACCGATGTCACGATGCCGAAGTTGTGACCCGCGCCCTTCATGGCCCACCATAGATCTGATTTCTGATGAATTGTGGCCAAGCTGCCATCCGCAAGAACCATCTTGAGTGAGACAAACTGATCTGCAATGAGACCGTGTCGTCCTTGCAAGATCCCATGTCCACCACCTAGCCCTGGGCCCAGCATAGAAACACATTCACAGATTCCAGTCACTATCCACAGGTTGGTTAATTAACTAGACAGCAAGACGCAGTCCATCTTCGGATTTCTTTAGTTCTACAGACATGTCTGCTTTCCTTTAGCCCAGAGAGCATCGGTAACTTGCTTGGATCTGACTCCACCGCCAAAGGTAGCCGTGTCGCCATCACCTGCAATGGACACAGAGTTCAACTGAGTCAGCCTGATCAACATACCACCCTGAACAGCCTTGAGGCTAGATATTGAACCGTGACCCGTGTTGTACGTCAGAAAAGGGGCATTGTGTGCATTGGCGTATTTGACCTGGTGGAATTAGCATTGTGTCACCCCCACCGAGAGCCAATTCGATAGGGCCACCCTTACAGTTTCCACCACATCATTTTCAGTTGCCACATCCACAACAACGGTGACACTGGGTGCATTCAGCGATGACCAGCGTGCGGTAGCCTGGGTAAAGTCATCCGAACCTGGGAAATGAAAATGTGCGTTGGTAGACAGCATCGGGCCCAGCTCCGATGCGATGGTGCTATGGCCCCCCTTGCATAGGCTGTCAATCCAGGCGAAACCCGCAGAAAGACCACCCAGATGTGAACAGAACCTCCCCACCATTCCGGCCGCGATGAGCGCCAGGAACTCCATCAGCACGCAATAAACGCAACCTTGGATGAACCTTAAGGCGAGGGGAAAGAAAGAAAGAAAGAAAGAAACAAGGGTTGAAGTGCAATAGTGACAACTAAACATTCAACGTCCATGTACCCTGGCTATCGGAAGGAGGTGGGTGGTCTTTTTCAGGTTTTGGCCTCCTTGTTTTTTGCGGTGTTTATCGTATCAGATTCCTATAGCTAATGAAGATGATCACCGCTATCCGGACATGGTCACCACAGTCTCGTATAAGCTACAGTTCAGCTTTTTTTTTTTTGAGTGTCGAGACTCAGCTGTCATATTATCAGCTGAAATTAGTAGATGTCACCAAAACAGCGGGCGTTTCCTCTATATGAGACGCAAAAATCGGGGCCAGTGGCGTCTTTCTTCCCCGAGAAGTTAACTACTGACTTGCGGCGGTAAACCAAACCTGCGGCGTGTTGCCAATAAAAGCAGAAAATTGTCGACTGCAGTTTGAGCCTCGCACTCACAAGGACTTCGAACTCTAGATTAAAGAATTTCGCTCCGTGAAGAGAAGGAAATCGGTAACTTCTCTCCAAACCAATTGACGGCAGTGTTGGGAGCTCATCTACCATTTATACCTTCCTCCATCTCAACAGCCAAGTGCTGTAAAATGCGAGTGACACGGGTATTAATAAGGAAATGCTGCTTGTGTATAGGGAGAATTAAGCCAGGTTCACAAAATGACCATCGCGATTTTTTCAATGTCCAGAACGCCTTCGTATCCGCGATAGGCTCAGGTGAAATTCTAACGGGCAGAGACTTCAACGATCGAATATCGAGTTGGTGTGGCTCAGCTCACATGAAAAATGTCAATTGACAATGGCTTCTATGTTCTCAATCCTTTTTATTATCAGAAGCCATGCTGCAGAAGTTAGTTACTAATTCAACACGCAGCAAATATAGAGGTGGTATATTGACATCCTTGACATTGACATATCCCAGCGCTGAATAAGGGTGTATGCCCAATCTTCATGACTAACTACCTCAACCTTTCTCCCACTTCCCATCAGAAAGAGGAATATTTCCACCAGAGCTAACTTAACTCGCCGTCCTTTCCCTGGGTTGACATGTAGCTAACATACTGAGGTTGCGGAGATGAGACATCTCCAGAGGATTCTTTTCTATCCTTGATGAATGGATAGAGAATTTAGCAACTATTATCACCAACTGGCCCTAAGGGGGACTAAGTGGTGACTTCGAAAGAAAAAGAAAAAAAAAAAGAAGTTAAGGGGAAGCATAGACCCCTTGCGGAATAGCCAGGAATCCAGGATTAGGACTGTTAGGGGCGCTTTAACTAGCGTCGTTAACTGGAGGATAAACCAACAACGTCATTGGGACATAACCCAGCTGAGCTTCTGCTCGAAAGCATGCGACGTAATGATACGAATACGATTGCCGATGCAACAGGGAAAGTATTGTCAACATTATTTCCGGGAGGGCGTGAAGCACAAAGCAGAGGTTTAGAAGGTCTTCGGAAATTCGAAGAATTGTTATTGCTGGACAGAGGTTAGTGAAATAGCATCCACCTTTATTTTTCGCTGGTGAATTTGAACGGTCACGAATTTTGGCTCAGTGCAATGTGAGATCGAAATATATGCATTAGCATACTGTCCAATATGCTCTAGAGAGGTGTGAATCCGTGCGTCAATCCTGGTCAAGACAGGAAAAGAGCAAGATATTCGGATGAGAAGGCTGCATTGCCCAGAGCCATCTACGGGAAAACCCCTTAACATGTGAGATTAGGGAGAATAATGCTTTTGGGAATCTTTGGGATTCATGGTACCAAGCTCTTTCTAAAACAAGAAAATATTGAAGAAAAGAAGGAACAACGCCAAAATTTCTGGCCGCGGCCAGTAGAATTAACGCCCAACTCTGGATTTGATATCCTTTGATCCAGTAAAGGGGGGGGAAAGCGTATAGCTTAACCTGGGGAAGACGCAAGGTCAAATTGAGACGCTGACGTCTTTATCCACAGGGATGCTAAATGCGCTGGATTGTGACGGTTAGGAATCAACTGTAGCTCCTAGGCTCGTAGCCTTCACATCAGCATTCTCTGGAAAATCAAACTTCGAATTGTCGCCAGACGGATTCATGTGATCTCCACGATCGTCATCTGCGCTGAAAAGTTTCAAATCAAGATTAGAGCTAATCTGCACTTTATTATCCGTCCCAATGGTGCTGTTCACTGTGTTGAAGTCTTTCATCCAGTCCATGTTATCCAGGTTAAATCTGTGATTGTTGTCGTTCGACATGCTAGTAATGGTGATATCAATGCCTTCAGTTGCGTCTTCATCGGCGAAAAGGTTAGCACCGGCGTCATCGAAATTGATCAGGGCATCGAGGTCGTTCTGATTGATATCTGCATCATGGGCAAGATGCATGAACTCTGTAAGACTTGTGTCAGAATCGCCAGAGCCGGGAACTTGGACTTCGTCAGAAAATAGATCATGGTGAATATTGTTCGTGTTTCCGTTTTCGCTACCAACGGATTGGGGAGGAGTTGAAACGTAGAGAAGATCCGGTCGCTCTGTCTGGTTAAACGGGACACCAGGGGCAATTGGAGAATATGTCAGATCAGGAAGTTTATCGGACAAGCTCTCTGGGGGGGGTGTCAGAGTGTTGGGACGTCTAGCTGAGAAATGAAGTGTGCTTGGTGGTACTGGTCGTTCTTGAGGGATCTGCGGAGATATCTGAATTCCAGCTTTGCGAACGGCGGCTTCGAGGAAAGACGTTGCAAAGTCCGCAGAGGCATAAATTTCTCTCAGTCTTTGCAAGATCTGCATACACTGATAAAAGCGGTGCAAACTGGCGGTTCGAATATTCAAGTCACTGGATTTAATGTCAAGGAGGTGAATTATAACGGCTGGCAGAAGAGCGGTTACTCCAGTTGTCGGAAGGTAGCGCGTTAGGTCCATTGTATGCAAATTCCGAGCAATATTTGTAATTTCAACGGCGGCATGGCGAACTTTCGAGCGCGACAAATCCTGGAGCCGAAATTCAACCGTGGGGAATGAGGAAGCAGGAAGCACCTGCGGACGGTGCAATGCACTGGATGTAGTGAGGTATATCATCTTCAATAATGCTCGATGGACATGAAGGACTTCTTCCCCTTTGGAAAAACTGGATGATGACGGAGGTTGATACTTGGCTGTCTCCTGGAGATCAGCCAGCCAAGTTTCCAGCTCCTGGTCGCATTTCTGGACTTCGCACTTCGCTGTCGAGGCCTTTTTCGGCACCAACATCATGGTAGTTTCTGTTGTACCTCCAAACTTGTGTCCAAGAACTGAATATTGTGCACTGAGAACATGGCTGATGCAAAAACATAGTTTGGATTTTTCAACAAACATTGTTGCGAGTTGTCTTTGTTGATCTGTATTATGTGCCAACTCGCAATCACCCACAATTTGGAGCGCCTCGGGGGACAGTGGCTTGATATCAAAATCCTCCAATGTGAGCATAGGGACATCGCAATCTTCATCCCTAATTCGCGTGGGTCGCCTCATTCCAAGGGCAATAAGCCTGTCACGAGTGTAGGTACTCCACCAAACTCGTTTCCAGAGTTTTTGTCGTTGCGGGTCCATAGATGAGGTAGATGGGTCCCGGTGGAGACCAATGGTATGTGCAAGTGATAAACTCACACCCATCCAATGCCAAGTATCTTTTTGATCATCAGGCATCTCATACCAGTGAGTCATCAACAAAAGAGATTGGACCAAGGATATTCGATCAACTTCGTAATCGAAATCATAGAGAACCTGCGAGTTTCAACACAAGTCAGTAAAAGCTCTGCATTCCCAAACAAGGTCAAGTTTTCATCATACTCTAGCTCTTTGAAAGAACGCTTTCCGTGCGTCCTTTCTCGATTCATATCCTATAGCCATAAGATGCTTCATAGAAATGAACGCAGTTCCCGCAAACATAGTAGCCTGAAAAAGAAGGAGACTCATTCGACGAGATCCATCATCGCATGCCATAGTCCGTAGGAAATCGTCCAATTCTAGCAGAGGCATATACGGATGAACAAACTGCAGGTAACTTTTCATAAGCTCATTACGGAGCCCCTGAGGCGGAATTGTCAGCGCTCCTTTGGCTTCTAGGTACGCAATATCGTCTGACTGGAACTTGGCTGGCAAAGGGCGGATAAAATTGGGCAACCAGCCTTTCGGCCGCTGGGTAGTTGGCGTAGGTTGAGGAGAATGACGAGCTCCAAAATCCGCGTTAATCAACTGTTGCACTGCCGTAGTCATCTTGCACAGGGAGTGAGGCGTTGGAAACGTCGAAATATTTGACATTCTGCGTCGACGATCTTCGTGATTGATCCGATTGCCTTGAGTCTGATCTACAAGTTGTCAGCAAATAATAGGCTGGGTATCCACAAAGGGTATGAAAGACGAACAGAGAAGGTGAGGAACATGGTGTCCATGATCTAAATCCACTGATACTTGGGATGGCGACAATGGAGCTAGAGGATCAGGAATCACTGAGCTGATAGGGTCGCCTTTGCGGGAAAATGGAAACTGGGAATCGTCCAGTCCGTCTGAAGATTGTGTTGACGAGTGGTTTGAAACCTCCCCTTCAGCTCGGGATCTTCTGAACGCCAATTTCAATAAGCTTAATTCAAATGCACAAAACTTTTGTAATAAAGGTGGACTGACTTTCTACGTTTGCTCTCCGTGACCACGCATTGCACCTCATCCAATCTGCAATTCGTACACGGAGAACCATTTTCCACCACATCACATCGGACCTTTCGCGCCCTGCAACAGCAACAGGCCTTCGATGCTCGTCTTTTCACCGGACGAGATATGTTTTGAAGGCCTGCAGAAACCGCTTTCCGCTTATTCTGCGGCTGCTGCGGCTGCGTCCCCTCGACAGATGCCATGGAGAATGATTATAGAAGCTGTGTTCAGATACTGATCCAGAGGGTAGCGGAGCTTTAAGAGATTGAAATTAAGAAAAAAAAAAAAAAAAAAAAAAAGAATTTCAGCAGAATTATAACATAGCAGTAAGTCAAACAAAAAGGATAATTTATTTAACGAAACTGCTCCCGAATCCAAACACCAATGTAGAGAGAGCGTATCATAAAATAATGTTCAAAAGCGGAGATGGCCAAAATAGTTTGGAAAGGGTAGACGGGAGGGGACTGAGCTCTTATGTAGAATTTTTGTATTTCAACATCCAAGATCCAGAGTCTGGTTGGAAGTTTTGCCATAGTCGACTCCCCCATATGGGTCTTTGGGTTTCAGGATGTGGATTGTGGGGATCTTGTTCTGGAGTTATGGGGGGGAGCTAGATGGCAAAAAATTCCTGGAGCATTCGCAAAATGCGAAGCTCGTAAATAAAGCGGAAATGCTCAAATGACGAAACGGAACATGCTTGAAGACCACCACCCTGAACTAGACTTCTTAGCTATGAACCAGAATTTGGTCGAATGCCAGAACAAGGGAGCTGAACCGCCAATCATCAGGCGGAGGATGAGGTCAACTCCACAGAAAAACTACCGACTGCCCACCCACCCCCGTATAATTATCTGCTTTACTTTACCTGGTTAGTGGTCCGCTGTGCACTAAGGCCGACTTCAGTATTTCTGCCAAGGGCAAGGTCTTGTTGCCGAACTTTTATCCCGGCGAAAAACGGATGCATTCTCATGATGTGGGCACTCCTGGCAGGTCCAAACATTCGATGACAGCAAGACTCATATCATATGAGATGAGTCCGTTAAAATAATAATATGTGACACCTCAAAGTAGCAGAGTTTATTCAATAGTCTTGTGCAAATTATTTCCCTTGTAATGCAGGCCTCCTAATGCATATTATAGTGAGGTTCCATATAAATCGTCTGGCAAGAGGAACCACAAACACCAACGACTGAAAAATGCCGAGAGCCGAGTAATAATTAATGCCCAGGCATTATTTTCACGGCCGAGAGGCGCCGGCCATTATATCAAGTTCAGCGCTAGTAATTAGGTTTGAAAACGCTCTGCTGTTATTGTGCCAAGCTTAAAAAGCCGAAGTAACTCGGATAGTGACCGAAGTTACTTTAGGCAATCATTCGGTGTCTTTGTGCCTGCACTGTGTTCTGCATACATTATTATTTGCACAACACATACGTGACAAGAAACCTTCTTTAAAAAGGTTGGTTTTACCAGCGAGCCCGCCTGGATTTGTAATCTTTGTCCTGATTTTCATTTTGCGGGGGGCTGGATGGGTTTGGTACAACTTGCGAAGTACGTTGAAACAGAGCTTTATATATCGACGGCCAGATAACGTCTTTCCCAGGGCAAAGGAAATAACATACGGCAGATTTTTATAAATCCCCGTATGCCCTACCACCGGTCCGATTTTCGCGATAATGACTTATCATCCAGCCTGACATGACTTTATCGATGGTTATTCACGAGTTATTTTCTTTTGACAGCTTTGCTCAGAGAACTAACCACTTGGAGTTCCAGCAGTTACGTCGGATGGAATTGTGGCGGGTCAGGTGGCCAACGGTGGGACGAACCACCTCCGCAATAATAACAGTGCCTTCGTTGGGCGGATCCCAGTCCTAGACTTCGAGCTGGACTTTCGAGATCGAGATGCCTGGTATGGAAAAGCGTCACCCACCTGCCACGCAACATTGTTTATTAGGTTCAGGGGGGGCTGCCATTTCAGCCCTAGATTCCAATCACTCTCTGGTTGGAAAGCGTAAAAAGTTGTCCGCCATCAAAATCCCTCTTTAGGGTGAAATGTTGCGGAACTTCCACCCTCAGGACCAATCATTTTTCTATTCAGGAACTCAGGGTGGGACGTCTACTACTTATGGAAAAAGGTCTTTGAGCAGATTCCGAGGTCTGGAATATGAAAATTTATGCCCAGACCCAGAGACATTATTTTAATAATCCAAGGATCTCAGTAGCGAGTTGAGTGTATGGATTGGACTTTTGACTAGCCTGCTTTGGAGATCCATCGCTCCCACGCCACTGGTCAACTCGAGTTGTTCAGTGATGGGGGGTTCCGATCAATAAAGCGGGTGATGGAGGGGGTTAGGATCCGAGACGGGGAAAATAGCATAATCCGGGGTGGCTAAAGTCGAATCCCAAAAACAAAGCTGTCACCATGGGGTTATTCCGTTCTTGATATGATTTATTAGCTGTGAGTCTTTGATAAACCATGTCTTAGTTGCAAACTGGATATGATATTGGGTGAAAATTGATGATTCGTGGACCTGTGAAAAGGCATTGCCCCCGTGATCTGGATACCCTAACACCGACTTCTTAAAACAGCTAATAGTTCGTAGTTCAATGTTCTCAATGTCATCCAACGGTAGTAGACTGCACTTCAGGGGCAAGATGCGCATACCGGGGATGCTTCGAGACGAGTCATAGACTATTCCACTACCATCCATTAATCCCTCTCTCATTTCTGCCCACACACACACACTGTTGCTTTTGCGTATGGTAGTTATGGAGTATGTTTATCCATGCTTTCGAGGCTCTAAAAATGTATTCCCACATTTTGGCCGAACACTGTCCGTCGAGCATTCATAACAGTTACCCAAGCTTCATTTCCCTGCTAGCCAGAGCTCTCCAACTGACTAACTACATAACTTAGTTTGAGCGCTTCTGGTGTGCGCCCCCCACTTTAATTGTGGGCGGGCTTTGGTGTGGAATCGGAACCCCGGAGTCCCCAGAGATTCCGGACATCCGATTTCGGCTGGGATTTGTCGCCCGCTTCGTGTCCCTGGTGAACTTTTCGCACATTGTGGATTTTACATCCCCTTCAGAAGAAGTGGGACACACGGTGTTCTCTCGGTGCCCCCTAACAATCCACATGTCTTCCCAAGATACAACTGCTTATTCCAATGGTTCTCCTTTCAAAAGTCTGATTCCATGAGATGTTCAGCGGACTGGTAAAGGATATATACGCACGACCCTTGAAATATCTTCTTCTAAAGCACAGTGTGCAAGGATGCTTTGCGTCCCAGTCGTGGCCAACGGTGGGTGTTTGAAGGCTGCTAATCATTCAAGATCCCTTATCACTCCGAACCGACGAGACCGAGCAAGCCGTTGTGAACATACGTTTGCAACAAACTCGCCAGTGTCTGATTGTGTAGGTCTTTTTTAACCCCTATGATAAAAAGAACTTTAACCACTGGAATCCCTGGGGCTGCAAGGGCTTAAGAGTGATTGGGTAGCTGTGGTTTTGTATATCGCTTTTGTCAACCAGTCACTGTTATCAACAACAAAGGAATATGAATAGACAAACTGCAAGCATAACATGACATCACTAGTCTCTATTCTTCTATAGGATTAGCCCCATGATTATCCAGTTTTCCGTTGCTCATTTATTCTTTTGTGTGTCGCTGGCCAAATTAATTCAATTGCAGCCGCCAATGCCAGTAGTGACCGTTGACTAAGGTTGTGAAATAAATGGACTTGCTCCGCAACTCCATTCCATCCGAATCTAAGAGTTCCGAACATGAATTCCGAGAGCCGATAAACAAGTCAGCGGACCAGAATTGGAATGGAGAGATTTTCTCTCGATGTAGAGATAACAGTCTTCATCATCCGTCAGACTCAGGGTAGAAGTCACTATCCTCCCCAGTTAATAATACCCAGGAACAGCATTAGCTCTGCCCCTTTTTTCTGGCTTCTCCATGATGTTATCCGGCCTAAGATCGTCACGAGCGAACAGTTGACACTTCCTCTGCTAGAAAAGAAATGAATGAAGAAACTTAACGTATATTGAGCTGCCGTGTTGTGGAGTTAGGAATTGAAAGACCCTGGCCCCTTAGCTGCGTGCCCTTGGGAAGAACCACAATCATTGACATGATATGATATTTCTTCACACGTTCCCCACAGGTTCCCCGAAGTACATGGCAATCATCCCGGTGCAAATTGCCCATGGTTGAAATATGTCGTTCAACCATTAGCTAACTGACAGGTTTTTATTTTATTTTTATTTTTATTTTTATTTTTTTTCCCCGCCCGTGCAACACTTCCGTCAATACATGACCGGAATGTAAGACATGAATATTCCCTTAAGTGGGATCGGGGAAGTCAAATCCCATGAGGACTTGGAGTCGGGATTTTTGGTGCATTTCAAGCACTTCCTATTTCCTGTGACGGATTTTGCAGCATTGTCTCCACTTCACTAACCACAAGCCCGGAGCCATGAGCGCCAGCCAGAGCTTTGACACACCCCAAGAAATGGCTTCTCAGACATGGGTAGCAACAGCTCTACCTCATGCTTTTCCATGTCACCTGAAGTCGCTTCTAGAGCCCTGAGAAAGGAGAGTAGACTCCTCCTTGTATGATGAGAATACAACTCGGGCAGTTTCAGTAAAGACGTGTCCGATATCCAGGGGGCATTTTTGGTCTCAGGGTCGGGTCTGACTTGGCCATAGAGATTGTCAGGCTCTTAGAAAGTTGATCGAGCCCCGTACCACCTTAACTTTCAGCTCTTTATTATTATTATTTTATTTTATCCTCTTTTTTTTTTTTTTTTTTTTTTTTTTTTTTTTTTTTTTTGGGATGTGCGCATTCGCTATAAACCATGGATGAGACGCAGCCGATCCGCCATTGAATACCAGAGCTCATCCTGGAATTCCAGCACGGGGATTTTTGTTCCACTCCGCCGCATCCGGGAAAGAAAAAGAGGGAAGCCGTGTTGCATCTCTCATGACGTATGTCTTGAAGATGTTCAACAGTCAATACTCATTGAGGCTGGCTAACTCGCAGTTGTGATGCAAATTTTGTAAGTGTTCTATTTCCTTTGGTTGTAGCCGTCACAAGGATAAGTTGTTTGGTAAGTTATGCTGCTGCACCCCCGTCCCTCAATGTTTGCCCACAGCGATATTGTCTTGTGCGATTTTAGAATGGACGAAATGTAATATTAATTGCTGGGCTTGTCGTACAGATATATTCCGGGCGGCATCCTAACTACTTAAAAATATACACAGATAGCGAGACCTCCTATTAGACAGAAGATTGGCAGCTGTGGACGAATGACAGTGGGTTATAGCAAGAGTATTGCAGTAGAATTGCTATCGCTAGGCAGATTTTATTCTAAAGTGTGCAATTTCTAAGATGGCCTTATTTTGAATTGCCACGAGCATTGTCTATCTGTGTGCGGATGGGTGGGCTGGCTTAATGGTTTCAACTGCTGCCATTTTTATACCTGTTCCCGTACTTCAGAGCCTTTTAGTTATCTGTGAGTTTTGGCATTGTTCGTGAGTTGAATTAAGATCCTATTTTTGGCTGGCCTCAAATCTTTCCCAACTAAATGCTGTTCGCCATGGTTTGCCAACACTTCATTGAATATGCCCGTTGCATCATAATTGAAGCTCTTCAACTCATAAATTTTAGATCCACAGAGTATATTTCGTTGAGCTTCCTAGGCACCAGTAGAAAATGCAGGCGATATTTGCAAATACAGAACTCAAGGTTGGTTCACAGTTGTGAAATTGATTCGGAATCAAAACCGACAGCTGTTATAAGTAACTTAAAGAGTTAGTAAATTCCATTGCATCAATGTCAAGGAACAGGGTCGATGAAGGCTCGACTGGAGAGCAAAAGGGACGATTTGTTTGTGCAGAAGGCAATCCAGTAGCTTTTCGTTTCTTGTTTTCTATCCTTTTCACTTTGTATCTTCCCGAGATCACTTCCTATCATCATATGGCGAAGAGTGCAAGAACCAGAAAAAGTTCTTTGGGTTGCTTTTGACCAGCTCGAGTTTTCTAAGCAACATGGTAGCCAGCCTGTTGTTATAAGCCACTGATCAAATCCAAGCCCCTTCAAAAGCAGTTCTCCAGATGATCTCTTTTCACATTTTGAAAATCATTGTCCTCTCTGTTGCTTTCCCACACTTGTGATGAATATTAATTGACATAGTGCATACTATTCAGTGAGTCTCACAGAATTGCCATGCAGAATTTATCATGCAGATGAGAGAGGTTTTACTTTATTTATACAGCTAAATTGCTCATTTGAATTTAACTGAATTTGATCAGATTAGCGGTATGATTCGACCTTATAAGTAGAATCAAATCTGACTGGAGCATATAGAGAGAAATCAAAGCAAATTATGATTCCAATTCTTTTCCGCTGTAAGATCTTTGAACCCGAACCATTCGACACATACATACCTTGATACTAAGTCATCGCGAGGCTACCAAAGGTAACTGGACATCTTTCTGATGAGCCAGCCATCTCCTCGCAATAGCATTAACATGATGCCCAAATTCTCAAGGCAAAGCTGGCACAGATCCTCGAAAAGATAGGATCCTATTGCGACCACCACCACACTTCTAGAGGTGTTCGGCCTGCTGCTCGAATGTTTGTCTGTGTAAAAGTCCATGAGAACTCTGGATTCCATTCTATTGTTATTATATCGGGTTCAAAGATCTTACAACAGAAGCGAATTGCCACTAGTTTTCTAGGAATCTAGAGGGGAAACGAATCATTGGCTAGATAGATTCCTCCTAGAATCTCGAGTCAGATTGACCTAATTACTTATAGTTAAGGTTCAAATCCTACTACGAATCTGATTGAATTCGAACGAGCAACTCATCCGCATAAGTGATCATAAGTGAGAAGAAAAACCGCTCAGACGTTCAAAATTCAAAATGCTGCTCGGTAAACCTGTGAGGTGCACCTAACTTGGACATATTAAAATGTCAAGATCAGGGCCGTGGTTTGGATTGGGATGGAGGTTGTTTAGGGTTTGTCGGCTGCTCAGCTCGGTAGGGGTACGTTTGGAAGCGTTTAATACTCCGACGTCTATCGCTGCAGACATCTCCTGCAATAGAACACATTGGTAAAACCTTGTCATAATACAAGTTTAGCGGAGACCACATAAAGATACACCCTTCCAAAGCCACCTGAATGCCATCCTCCTGAGAATCACATGCTAACAGTGCGGCGCCACAGTCAAGTATGAAAAGATGTGCATTTTGCACGGTTCTTCCTGTGGTAAAAGAGAATGCCATTCGCATGCTGCTCTCTAAGTTTTACAAGGCATTGAACCACGTTTATATACTGGGAAACTGAAACCACCCTCTATTCCTGATAAAGAGAAAAGAAAGAAAGAAAAAGGAGAAGGTTTCATATAAGTGATGGCCTCGTATGACAACTGAAGTGTGACGAGAACGGATGCTTCCGGAATAGCTTCGTCGCTAAAGGCTGAATACTGAAGTCACTGACCACCCTAACAACCAGTTTAATCAACAGGTTTGGCTTCATCATGGTTCTTCTTCCACTTAATGTTTTGTATACCAGCCATCTGCCTTCACTGCTGCCACACACTTTGGCATGAACACAGAAAAAGATAACTGTCAGAGAATACATTCTCTGATTAAAGACCTCTCTTTTTAGCCCTCTCGCTCCCTCTCGTGTGTGCAACTCACCCAACCCACAGGGAGCCAGAACAAGGAGACAATCTGTCCGGCCAATACGTTCATTCATTCGTCTCTCTTTTCAAAATGTATGAATGCTTTACCTGCATTCGCAACTTCTATAGCGAGCATGCTCTCCAGCAGCACATGGATGACAAAAATCACTGGCCGCCACGCTATGGCTGCGAGTCCTGTCCAAAAATATTCAACTCCCAACATGCAGCAATCCAGCATATGAATGCTGTTAGACACTGGAAACCGAAGATCCCTTGTGAGAAGTGCTCAGCCATGTTCCATAGAGAGCAGGACGCAGATCAGCATATGAGCCAACTTGGTCACTACAAGCACTACTGCACAAGCTGTCGCCAGCGATTCCAAAACGAGAATAATCTTCGGATGGTCTGGTTGCTCGACATCTCTCTCTCTCTCTCTCTCTCTCTTTCTTTCTAAAAGACCCATCGAAATGGTCAAATAATGACAAAGCATGCCTGTAGCACCTTAACTCCAAAATTCACCGCCCAGCCACTGTCTCCTGTCCCTGCTGCGGCATCCTCTCCTCTGCCACCGGCGTCGCCCATCACCTTGAACGGGGTGCCTGTCCTCATGCCCGACGTCTCAATCGGGAAACCATCTTCCGCGCCATTAGCGAACGTGATCCACATGGAATCATTGCCAATAAACAGATCGAATGGCACCGCGAAAAAACGGTCGAATACCTAGCCACTGACAGCGCATTCAACGGCGACGGCTGGGAATGTTACATCTGCCACAGAGTGTTCGTCTCGATGAGGGCGCTAAATCAACATGTCAATTCGCCTGTCCACAAGCAGAATATTTACCACTGCCCTAATGCAAAATCGAAGTGTGGAAAAGAGTTTCAAACAGTGGCTGCACTCTTTAACCACCTAGAAAGTGAGTCGTGTGCTTTCATGAGGTTTGAAATGGTTCGGCACCGGGTTACGGGTGTGCTTGGTGGAAACCGCCTCATTTCTTTCTGAAGATGACTGGGTATGCTGGCGCAATTGTCCCATTTGTGTTTGGCCGAACGGATCTCTATGTTCTGGTTCTCGAAGCCTCTTCTCTGCGAAAGCTTAGCAGCCTTCTGTTACCCTTGCGAATGTTGTATTTAATAGGAGATCGTGGGTTCATCATCAAGAGAATGTCGGTTGGTACTTTGGCTCGCGTTGATATCTCCCTGGCCATGTTGGCCACATCGTCAGGAGGTATAAAGCGGCAAATTCTGAACTAATACAGAGTAAATACTATCTTTCTTAACTCATCCCTGTCGATGTCCCTCCTGTGAAGAAAATAACAGATGTCTTGAGCAAAATCGTCCCTCGCCGCCAATTTACTTAATTTCCTGGTGATTACAAGTGCATTTCCACTTCAATTTGGAGATTTCTCGAGAAATCTCCTCAACCCGTCCCAAGGACACGTTTTTTATAAAGTCTAGTGAATGCGAAGGAGGGTGAAAACTACCTATTCATCAAATCAATTTAATGAAAAGAAGAAGATCTTCGTGGTTTGGATTCTCATCACTCCATTGGGTCAAGATCAAGGATGCAGTTGGGTTTGGAGAAACGAATCGTCCGAGGAATCCTTCGTGTTCAAGCATAATTAACCAATATCAGACACCATTTCGCCATTTATGCATGGCCAAAGTAGGCGGCAGTATGAGGCGTCGGGTGTGCATAAGTCTGACATCCTGAACATTTAACACGTTCGGATTGATCCCTTGTGTGATAGGATTAAGACCATTTTATCACTCCAAGGCAGCAAAATAAAAAGGGACACAGTATGGGGTTTCAGCATCTATATAAACCACCAGCCGGTTTCAGGCATCTTCCCCCACCTTACAACACGACATGTGCTTTTCGGAAGACACCTATACACTTAGTTTATACACTTAACTATTAATCCGTTACTTACTTACCCCCCACCACCAACAATGGAAATCGCCGTCATCGGCGCGGGAATTGGAGGTTGCGCCGCATACCTCTCCTTGAAAAAGCGCCTCCCAAAGCCTCCATCTCCTGCCCAAGACCATCAGTTTATCATCTATGAAGCCTACGAAAAGCCCCGGCACTTTGACTCCCCTCATCCGCAGGGCGAAACCCACTCCGCATCCTTGGTCGTGGGGGGTGGTCTTGGCGTCGGTCCCAATGGACTCAAGGTCCTCGAGCGTCTAGACAAGGAGCTCTTCCACGATGTCGTGCGGGCTGGGTACCCCTATTGTACCATGAAGTTTATAAACTCATATGGCTGCACATTAATGCGGATGTCCGCCCGTGGTGGGTCTGATCCAGAGATAAACTCTGTTTCCATGAGCAGATATGCGATCTGGAGGACTCTACGGCGTCGCATTCCAGATGGTATAATTGTGACTAGACGCGTTTCGGAGGTTACAGCAAATGCAACTGGGCGGAATGTCATCAAGTTTGCGGATGGAAGTGCGGATGTCGAGGTAGACCTTGTAATTGGTGCGGATGGCCTGAAGAGCGCAACGAAGAGAGCTCTCTTTCCTGATGCGGGGGAAGATCCGTACCCCGCTTGTTATGAGTGGGTTTTGTTCAGTACCTCGTTCATTGTGTTGATATTTTTGATATGGTCTATCTGATAAATTATCCTGCAGAGGCCTGGTCGGTATCGGCGGTTTCGTACCCCTGGCCGACGTCCACGAACACGTCGAAGCGGGGGCAATGACCATTACGTTTGGCAGAAATGGGTTCTTTGGCTATGCGCCCGCAGACACTAGTCCCGAGGAGCCCAACCGACACATCCCACAAGGGAAAATGCCACCAGGCGAAACCCTCCTGTGGTGGTCTACATATGCGATTGACGAATGTCCCAACCCCAAAACTATCGACAGTGAAGCCGTCCGGAAAGATCTACAGAAGCGGCATGGCAACTGGCAGAGCCCTGTAATCAAGAAGATTATCGATAACGTTCGGGTTGAAACGATGTACCCCGTCTGGACAACCCCTGAATTGCCGACGTGGCAGCGCGACGGCGTCGTGCTGATTGGGGACGCCGCACATACCTTACCCCCGACATCGGGACAGGGGACATCACAGGCACTGGAGGATGTCGAGTGTTTCTCTATGTTCTTGGCGCACTATTTGGGACAAATATATCATGGCGAGTCTCCAGCATCCGGGGATGCGACGGAAGCCGACGCCATTTCGCACGCCTCGAAGAAATATATGGAAATGCGCCAGCCACGGGTCAAAGACATACTGTCAAAGGCAAAGCGGATGGAAAGTAAAAAAAGGGATCTGAGCATCGTTGAGGAATGGATGTTGTATCTGATGCTTTTCATCTTTGGTACGTTCCAGAAAGCTTAACGGAACAGATGATAACCTCCCCGTCTGTGTCCTGTATGAAACGGTGATAAACAGTTAATTGATTGACTAACCATTGCCGTTTTGGGGCCGCAGGTCATTTTCCAACCATCCCCTGGGTGAAAAATGCATATGCCTACAATGTTGCAGAGGAAGTGAACAGAGTCATTGAGACTGAGAAGAAGCGAAAACTTTCAGAAAACGATAAGAAGTAGTTAACGATGAGAGAGTTCTCAAAATGCTCCTACAGCTAATGCCCATTAAGTCGATATACCTCTATTTCACTATTCTCATTTGTTTTCTATTAAAAATTTACCTCTTCTCCGCTCTTCCAAGTCAAATATTTATTCTTGCGTGTCTGTATGTAATTCTTTTATACCCGCATACCATATACCATGACGCATCGACTTCACAATTTTTTCTTTTGTTTTTCATTTTTTTCATTTTTTTTTTTTTTTTTTTTTTTGGCGCAGTACAACAACTCAAATAATGGGCCAAAAAGAGAAGAAATCATTTTAAGTAGTCCTAAGAGAAAAATTAATATACTCCTGGTACAACTCACTGATAAATATACTCCTACAAGAACTAAGAACATTACATGTGTCTTATCAAGTGAAAGCATCCTGTGTGTTCAGGGGACATCCATATTGCAAAGCCAAGTCTCCAGAAAAGAGCTGAGAATAGAAGCTAGCACACTTTATATATATGTATATATCAAAACAGTGGACAGCTAGTTAAACAGAAAACAAAAATCATTCATCATAACTCTTTTTATCTCCAATGGGAGGTAATTAGCTAATCTAACACAAGACATAACCATTTCTCATCAGGACAAAGGGAAAACGCAACGAAAAGAAAAACAATACAAAGAAGAGGCAAAAGAAAACCGTCATCACCTCCATCCATCTAAACACCACCCCCACCTCTCCCCATCCTCTCTATAGAACTCATAATCCCGCTCCTCCCCGCCGTACTCGCAGGCATCCCTCCACTGGTTGGTAATCCCGAACTAATAGATTTCCTTCTTCCATTGTTGCCCCTGGAATTGCTGGGAGGCATTCCGAAACGCGGAACTCTAGGCGTTGGGACACCTATTGGAAGCGCTGCTGCTCTGGGTCGTATGGCTGAGGGAGGTGGGAGCCGGCCGATATTACTGTTAGACGCAAAATTTTCGTTCAGGGGTTGCATTGGTTTTTCGATGCCGGTGTCACAGTGTGTAGTTTGTTCGTCTTCAGATAGGGAACGCCGGCGGGGAGCCGGTGGCTCAGGGAGTTTACGTTTGGGTTGATATTGTTCTGGTTGTTCTTGACCTTCGGGAACTCGTTCTTTCTCAACTTGCTGTTGATCGTCCTGGTATTGATGCTGCTGGTGTTGATGTTGCTGGATCGCAAGCCACTCATCAACAGCTGCTACGAGCTCACCCTTTTCCGTGCGTTCCTGTTTCAGCTCGGACCGGAGAATTTCACTATCACGCTTCACAGATACAAGCTCCTGCTCTAGCCCTTTAACACGAGCTTCTAGAACCCGCTTGTCGGCCTCAAGAGATTCAGTTTCACGAATAAATGTAGCTTCTCCACAGAATCCACCTTCTTCTCCAGGAATGTCGGAGTCCTTTTCAGCCTTTAGGCGTGCATTCTCCTCCAACGCCTCCTTCAACTTCCTCTCAGCTTCCCTAACTCGTTTCTCCCACCGTGCCTCGTAGCTCTTTTTGAGAGCAGCAACCTTTGTCTCATGTTTTCCTTTGTAGAGTGTATGTAGTTCGCGAGCAACTCTCTCAACAGCGTCCTGCACTTCTCTAGCTGTTTCTTCAGCCAACTTATTCCCAGTCTCAGTGGGGGGAGATGTATTTGCAGTATTCCTGGCGGCTGAAAATTGGCTCTCTAACTCCACAACCCTGCTCTCCAATTTCTCTTTGCACTTTTCTGCTTCCTCTATTTTCCTGTTTAGCCTCTCACGCTCGCGCTCCCCATCGACAATTTCACTCCTAACACCCCTTAAAACGGTCTCCATCTCCTTCCCTCGCCGTTCCCATTCTTGAAGCTCATTTTGTCTCCGTGAGGATTCATTTCTTAACTCCTCGGATACCTCTCCGACTCTCCGTTCAGCATCAGCCACGGACTCCTTTAGACACTTAACTTCAGCTTCTCTTCCACTAAGTGTAGCTTTCAGAGAAGATATCTCCGACAGGAAAGAAGACTTCAGTGACTCCAATTCCCTTGGAGTTATGCTTGGAATAGATCGCGGAGTGGGAGCAGGTGGGATGTCAAGATCCAACAAGGAGAACTTCGACGGGGACCTAAACCCAGCCGCCGTGGATTTTGCAGGCGAAAAACGGGAATTTCTACGGGATGGGGACATGTAACCATTGTGTAATACATAGGAGGCGCGGGAATAGGAGTTGGGCTGGTCAGTAAAGTCGATAATATTCATATGATCGTCACCCCTAGGGCAGGTTTGTCCAGGTGCAGGTGTTCCTTTGTCTTGCTCCGAAAAAAACTCTCTCTTCTCGACTGTGTTGGGAGACTCAAGTGTGTCATTTGTATATCTGGCCATGCGCATATTTTTTCGAGGGCTGGTAGAAGCCTCTCTCATCCGCTTGATCGGCGAGTCCCGTCTGAGTTGGGCAAAGCCGGTCATATCAAGATCAGGGACAGCAGAAAAAGCACTGAGGCATGTGTCATCCTGATCACCTGGAGCTTGGTGGTCATTCCCACGACCATTGTAAGAAATTCTACCAGGATCGTTCGAAGCTACCTGGTAGATGGTGCTCATGCTTTCGTCGTTTTTATCGTTCATCGTGATATTTGATACTTCGTCGTAGTTACTTTCGTTGGCAGGCCTGTTAAGCAGGTTCACTTCGTTGCCTAAGCGGTAGGTCTCCCGACTTCCTCCACCAAAAGAATTCTGCGTGTTGTTATTGTAATTGTCATCCACACTGTCCTCCTTGATTCTAGGAGGACCCTCATCCCCTTGCGAATCTTCTTCTCTCTTTACTTCCAAGTCATTCGTAAGCTCCCTGCTATCCAGCTTCTCTTCCTGGGGCCTATCAAGCCGAAAGTCACCAGATTCCGCCTGTCCAAAAAGAGGTGCCTGGTCATTAACAGTCGAATAAAACGGCGAGCTTTCTGGCCCTTCCTCAAGCCCACTGAGGGCATTTTCATCACCAGATTTCGCATCTGATGGGGCCGGAGAATCATTATATGTTGAAAGGCGCACATTCTCTTCATTATAAAGGGAAGTTTTCATTGGAGTTGTGCTCGAGAAATTATCAAGCCCCTTGTCCTTGGAACATGTCTTATGTGAAGGAGTATTTGCGCTGGGAGAACATGGAGGTCGAGCATTCCGCCTCGAAGGCGTGAGGACGGATAGAGGGCTTTCCATTATTTTCTGAGAGCAATGACGGAGTTCGTTTATCCAACTTGCGCCTGGTTCTGTATTTTCTAGTTCATTGAATAGTTAAAAGCCGCAATTGGAATATTTCAGGTGGGCAGCAAATGGCAACACCCAGTAAAGAAACAGGATTAGAGAAGACCTACTCGAAATTGATAGAACTCCTCTCAAAATAAAATGTTTTGCGCTGAAAGTCACAGTAAGAAAATGTGAAGCAGTGTCTTACATGAGACAAGTCATGACTCTGTGGAAGATTGAAATGACAATTGCCAGATGATGATAATGCTACACCGAAGATGCGTCTGTTGCCGTGGAAATATTTTTGGTGGGCAACGGGTGTAAACAAAGCTAAGCCGTTTACAGCCTAGTCCAAACAAGCAGCAGATAGCAAATGGATATCACGTGATACAAGAGTCTCGGATTCGAGTTAACCATTTTCTCCATTGGATTGTATTCAATAGTTGTAGCGAGCTTTCTATGGAGATATTGGTTAGTGCAGTGAAGTTCATATATACATATCTATCATTTCTAGTCGTTATTGAAGCTATTCACTTTTGGAAAAATTTGAGCAACCATTTGAACGCCATACAACAGAATCAAAATATCAAACAAGGATGAATACAGCGCTATTTCAAACCAGTGCTCACCACAAAAAGGAAAGGAGGGGAGGAGTCCATTGTTGAACAGACAAAACGACTCTAACATGACCAGTAATGGATCGGAGCAAGCTCCCGGACATTCTCGGTCCATTGCGGATATATCAATATAAAACACCCAAGTGATGGTTTTATCCCGCTACACGCGATCATGAACAGTAACATGCACGTCATTAGCCAGGGGTTCTTCTTCAGCAGTATGACGAGGGTGGAGGGAAATATCTGTGGGCGAAACCGTCAGAGGTGTACGTTTCTTCTCTTGTATAAAATACAACTGGCAAGCCCCCACAGCAGCAACAATCGCACTAGCCCACCATGCAAGGCCAGTAAACCCAACCTTCGAACCAATGCTATACAGATAGCCGGCAATCGGTGGCGCTAGTGTCCGACAAGCAGCGCCTGCGGAAGCGGCAAGGCCGTTAATTTTGCCAAGCACAGAGTGTGACGGACATGTCTGTTTAATGAGGATCAACAGGACTGGGTAGTCAAGTATGGAGAAAAAGTTGCGAATTGTCAGGCAAGTGTAGATTCCAGTGAAAAAGAGATTTCGCGGGAGAAAGGCGAGGAAAGGCACTATGAAGTACGCGACTGGATGCAAAACGGTTACAAGCACGAATAATTTCCATACGTCAAGCCATTCCGCTAAGAGAGGAAAGACTATGGCTTGTATTAGAAGTGCTATCACACCGTTGACGGCCATGATAAGTCCAACAGCCTGGACAGAAAGGCCCAGGCCGCTGGGGATATTAAATATTGATTTTGCCGTGGTATTGGCTGTTCCGGTCCCTTTATCCTGAAGGAATATGGGGAGCAGATGATCGTAGGTCATGGAGTGATACGTGAATATCCCCAGAGCAATCACTAACATGGTGACACGGTATGTGAAGACCTTAGCTTGATCATGAGCGCAACTTTCGAAAGCTTTTCCATTTGACTCGACGTCCCATTCTTCGTCCTTGTGCAGTTCTACATCGTTGAAAGTTCCGTAAGATGTTGCTCGCAGATCCGCTGAACCATGTGCGGTAGAGGCTCCTATAGCAACTGCAGCAAGAGATGCCCCGAGCTCACCCTCGTCGTCTGTATGTCTGACGGCCTCACCACCCCGGCGCAAGTCCGGATGAGTCTCGCCCAGGAAAAAATACCCCGCAAATATACTGATCAACTGTAGAGTTGAGCAGATTAGATTTGGGAGAAGATAAGGTAAAGTACCAAAAATCCCAGTAGGAGAGAATACAGACGGAAAGGAATCGGCAGGCCTTGCGAAGTACCCTCCAATAGCTAGAAGATGACATATCAGTACCAAACGTACAAGCCAACAGTAAACTAAGAGCTAACATAGGGGTCAGTCAAACTTACCTGGACCGATTATTGTTCCGATCGACCAGACAAATGGCATGACAGCGTAGGCACGAGCTGTGGAATAATTTAGTTAGCTAGCTACTACAACAATATATATCCTCAGCAGTAATAGACCAGGCGAAAAAACACCACCTACGCTCATGTTCAGGCTTCTTGACCAGTTCCCCCACCATCGTCTGGACAACACCTATATTTCCGTTTAAAACCCCACCCACGACCCTACCAAGAAGAGCTACCCAGAAGCTAGTGGAGAAGCCGACGATAAGGAGGGAGAGCATGGTACCTACGCAGCCGAAGAGAAGGACCGGCTTACGACCAACTCTGTCGGAGAGGCCACCCCAGTAAATGCCTGTCAAGCTCTCCGCCAGAGCAAAGGCGGAAATGAGGATTCCAGAGTATAAGGAGGCATTTTTTTCCTCGCCCATATGAAAATCCTTAACCATAATCCATGCGTAAGGGAAGATGGAGGTTAGGGCGATGGGTTCCGCCAGGCGGCATATCGCTACTCAATTGTCAGCGGTGATGAAGGGGGGAAAAGAAGAATTTAAACTTATGGATAGAGGATATACTGACCCAGAATAAAGAGTTGGATGGTGGGGAAAGATTCATCGGGGGATTCACGATTGTTTGCAGTAGTCGAGGTTCTGGGGTTTGGTCTTTGCGGATGGGTTAATTTCATATTCTTCACAGATCGATTTGATCCTTACAGCTATCCCCCCGTCAGCTTCGACACAAAATACTTCGCGCGTCTTGTTCACGGTCCGCTATATCTGGGCATGTAGGGAAGGACTGGGTAACACGTTGACTGCTTGCTATTTACCGCCCAAACAAACAACCAAAAAAAAAAAAAAAAAAAAAAAAAAAAAAAAAAAAAAGAACCGAGAAGGTTCTGCTCCGCGACGGCTTGAGAGAAATCCGTTTCGAGTCTCGCTTTTGCCGTGAAACTCGCAACAAAGTGTTGCTAAACAGAGCACCCTGGGCGAACGAAGGGCAGTGGAAGAGTTTGTTGGTTTTAACGAATGCACAGGGAAAAAAGATCAAAGGTGTAAATATATGCGTCAACGTCAGCCGGTATGGAACGTGACACTTTTGAGTTGGGGCCGGCCGGAGTTGATTTTTTTTTTAAAATAGTTAATTCCAAGCGAAACTTAATTTGCCACGGAGAATGGGATATTGGGTACCTGGTACATGAAGCCCCATCATTCAGTCATTGAAAACGATAATAAGCATTTGAAATGTCCAGTATCGGTACATGAGAAGCGAGAGGAGTTCCCCACACCCACGGAATTTGTTTCTCACAACTGCCAGAAAGGGAAGAAGATTGCGGGTCGATGTAACATCTTGAGCAAAAGTCGGTTGGACCAAGGATCAGCTTGAAACGATTCGGGGCAGAGTACAACGGCCAATCAAAGCAAGCCAACCTATAACTTCGGTATGCAAGGCCGACCCGCCAAACCCGTGCGAGAAGCTAACTCGAAGCAACAGACTCGGCGATTCGATGAAGCTGGACTCCGGCAGTTAGGGTCACTGACTCTCAGCTTTGACCAAAGGAATGATCAAACGAATGGGATGAAAACAGAACGGAGGTGGGACGAACACGGGAAGTGACGGGATATATTTCATAAAGCCAACCCTCGATATCTCCATGCGCAGCAGTTGATTTAAATTTACATGATAACGTGAAGATCATGACGTCCATTGAGGTTTAATGAAACACGGAACTTCTCCCTGCGACAATCTCTAGCTCACAACAACTTTCCACTAGAAACTTGGAAGCAAATGAACCTCACAACAAATCTCCACCCGGTTTACAATTCCCCACAATTAGCCGACATTGGCGCTTGGACATAACATACAATCACTAATAAGTCATGACAGTTACTAAGCCGAATAGAACTTGCTAGAAACGACTGCTCAGCTCAAATAAAGCAATCAAAGCCGTAACCGAGACAAAGTACTTCGAGAGGAAGCCCGTGAAGGCGAAATACGGTTTGGTATATGGCTTTAATTTGGCGTTATTTGACCTCCGTATACGTATGTATACCATCAAGGTGCGTCTTGGCGGTAGGGGATACAAAAACTCCACTTTGCAACCCCAGCCACAGGGTCACTGACCTGCGCGCATTGATATTGCTGATACGAAGATATCCCATGAAGTGGGCTCGCTGCTAGGTTCTTCACGCCACCAATCACCCTGCCATGGCTCTGTAGGTATTGAAATTGAAGCGAAAAAAGTAGCCAGATTTTACTGCAATTATGCGATATGCGATGCGCGATGCGCGATCCTCTCTTGGTTCATAAAATTCCCGAAATGGGAGGGATCCGTTTGTGAGGAGCCACAACTCTAACCAAAACAAGATTTAGAAAAAGCGCCATGCTAAGATACATAGTCGAAATCCAAAGAAGCTTTCCATCGCTCCCCAAGGTTAGACAACTATTCCTGATCCAGAGAGCAAAAAACGAAATCACAAACGCCTTGTTAAAAAACACCAGACATAATCATGCATATATCGATATTTAAAAACCTATTGTTCTTGACCGGATAGAGAAAGATATGATCTCCTCTCTCTTATCGCCTAATCCAAAGGGGACCAAGAAGTTAGCGGAAACTGAAATGGCTCAAAATATAAGGAAAATAAACACCGGTGCACTCTTCCCTGTTGCCATCACGTAGGAAGGAAAAAGACGTACTGATATCCATTTCTCCGCGCATGGCTTTATTGCCGCCCAGACCAACAGACTGGCTGTTGCGATAATGAAAATAAAAACGACCGCTTTATCCTTGTTGGAATCTCGCTCTGAAGATGGGTGGAGATCGTTGTCAATTAGTCAAACCTTTCATACACAGGGGAGGGTATAACATTGCAGATTCCTTCAAGGTGGATGTTTAGGCTGAGGGTGGGAGGCACTCACGAAAACATGTGGTGACGACGTCTTCTTCCTTCGCCCCTTTACACTTTGGTAGATTGTAGTCCAGGCAAAACCGGCGATTGCAATCGTTGCAGTTCAGAGGTCTATTTTTCTTATCGCCCTTCGCAGGATCATGCTTATCTTCCTCATCTCGTGGAAACAGGAGCAACCTGGAGTGTATTGCAGAGAAGGATTTAGAATCGGGCAGTCCGAGTTGGATGATTGTACTGTTTGAGAAACAGGTGCATTTGCAGAATGAGGTATGGCCTATTTGTAGGTGATGGACACGATGTTATTAGTTCTCATGTGCTGATGATGGACGACAGATGGAAGCAGACGTACTAGAGGCCGAGACGAGAGAGGTAAGGGAGGTGGAGAGGAAGAGAAGGAGGAAGGTACTTCGTGATATCATGATGGATAGAATGTGTACCGGGTGATACAGTATTCCCCCTCAAAAGGCACTCATGGATATATATTTTTGTTTTGTGCCTTCACATACGTAACAACCTTGGAAGCGATGCAAATGGCATTGAAGAACTTAGTGTTTTTGCACGTGATATCCCTGATTGAACTTCGGCAACTTTTTGTTGACTTGGACTCGTTGCCGAATCCCAAACCCATTCAGAGCTACAACAATTTCATATGGAGATCCTTCATTACTGGATGATGCTCAATGTTCATATGAACTATATCTCAAGCGTGCAAAAATTTCACTTAGTGTGCTCTGGCTGTCGTATAAAAGAGAATAATGAAATGAAAACAATAATTGAAAAATAAGATATCAATGGTAAATACGTCGGTTCCCCCCCCATTCCCCCTTTCCCCCGCTTTCCTATCTCAAATATTTACTTCCCCGTAAAACCCTTCTGCCTATTCTCCCTCTGCCTCTTCCCCTTCGCCGCCTCCCTTCGCCTCCTCTTCCACGCTCGATTATTTTCCCCCCGATTCTCCCAGAACCACTTTGAAAACTCGCTTTCTTCCTTTCCCTCCTTTGCAGCATTATCATCGGCACCTGCAGTCGCAGGAGGTTTTGTTGGTGTTCCCACAACATCATCGCCGTCCCTATTAGGGTAATCATCAATATCTATCCCATCACCGATGTCGTCATCATCGTCACAATTGTCTTCGTTGCCGTCATCTTCTTCTTCATTATCACTCCAAAACCTACTCTTATTCGGTGCCACAGTGTCAGGAGTCGGGGCTGCGCTGCGCACGCCCCGCGACATCAGGTCCAGTTTCGTAAAAGGGGTTTGGGGCTCTCCTGTGTTGAGAAAAGAGTGAGTGGGTTGGTTTCCTGCGACTGCGGTATCAGGGTCACCCTCTTCGATGTTATTGTCATCGTCACCAAAGAAGCTGAATTGGGTATTGATTTCCAGCGGCGGTTTTAGGTTGTTGGATTGACGGCGATTTGCGGGGCTTTTGAAGAGGGCTTCGAGAGGATGGACTTCTGTGGCTGACTCCGGTGATTGTTGGGGATTGGAGTTTTGGAGAGGGGATTTTACTTCCCTGGCGATGGTTTTGGGAACTGCGGGTTTGTTAGGGCTCGGCGTTACAACGATAGATGGCTTGGCGGTGGCTTTGGGAGTGAGGTCTGGTGCTTCGACTCGCTCGCCTTTTTCATAGTCGTCCTGATTCTCCTCTCCTTCGTCTGAGGATGAAGACGAAGACGTTGAGTCATCCCCCCCGGAAGACGTGCCGGAGGAAGATGCATCGTCATCTTCGTCGTCAGAGGAAGTTTCAATAGAAGACCCACTCGAGGACGTCTCGTCGCTGTCGACCTCAGTGGGAGAGGATTCCTGAGGAGCGACCTTTTCTACCGAGAAATTGGTGCTGTTCTTATTCTTCCTCATCTGTTCCGACTTTTTAAGTGGTAGGTTTGTGACAGCGTTCTCCGTGATAATGAATTTCTCTTTGACATTACCGTTGCGGTCGACCCACCCTTTGCCATCCAAATACTCGCTGGTGAGACCATCTTCTGCTGGCTTCTCACCAGTCCTGAGAAAACTTGGAATGGTGGTTGATTTTTCAAATTCATGCACAATCACTTCACCACCTTTCTTATCTTTCCTCCTTTTCTCAGATGATTTCTTCTTCTCTTTTATTGCATCAGTGCGATTGGGAGGCACTGAGGTCCGGAACAGGCACTCCGACTTTTCTGTATATTTTGAGCGCTGAGGTTTGCGCTTTTCGTCCTTTCTATCTGATTTGCGACTGCGCTTGTCACGACCTGCAGGTTCTGTCCAACCACGCTTTACACGTCTTTCTTGAGGCAATTCGTACCCATCAACAACATTATCCCAGCCTCTCCGCTTCTTCAAAGATTTCGCCGGTTTAGACAGGGGTGAAGAAGAACCGGGAAGAGGCGCTTCGTCGTCTGGCAGAAGGCGTTTAGAGGGCCGTGCTTCTTGTATCTTCAGTCTTTTCCCTTTCAGAATGGAACCATTCAACTTTTTCACAATCTTTTCCGCCTCCATTTTAGGTAGATTGACAAATCCGTAGCTGTTCTCTGGGAAGGTCTGCACGGAATGGTAGGAAACGTCCATCGCAGCCTCGCGAACTGACGGCGGGAAGATAGCTTGGAGCAGCTCTGGTGTCAACGGGGAGATATGGAGACGGGTAGTGCCAGTGCTTGTCATTGCGACCTCATACCCGTAGACTCTGTTCTTGCTGCCCTTGTCATCGTCGTAATCGACGGCATCAAAAGTGCCTTGCTGAGTTGGTCCTGGGATATTAAAAAGTTATTGTTCGCGGCCAAAACAATCAATACGTATTTGACGTATTTTGACATATTGGCGTATTTAATACAGTTGTGTACTTTACGACTTGGCACGTGAGTGATAAAGCGGTGAGGAGGGCGTCACCTAACTGGGACGGCAGGCGCTGGCAGAACGGCCAACTTGAGACAGGGCAAACTTCTAACCGCAGCCAACAAACAAACCCCAACTCCAGAATGGCCCCAATATCCGGAGTGTTGGACTGCGACAACACCGGGTTTCTATAGAGCTAACTTCTAAGGTTATATGCAGAAAAGCGTTGCAGTCGATCCAGAGCTCTTTTGGTGTCACCGTGTGTCCGTCCAACGCTATCTGCTTTCAAAAAAGTCTCCGTTTTAGCCTAGCTGTATATCTCATCCAGCTGCCCGGGCGAAACCGAAGTCATCTCATGACCTAGTCGAGCCAGCTTGTATCACGTCTGCCGGACGGACTCTCTTCTTCCACGTACTCTGCTATGGTTAAAAGGCTTGTCGCTCTCATGGCCGGATCTTTGTTGTTATCGTCGCGTCCATCAACGGGTCCGATTACCCCTCCTATCATCCAATTCTAGGTCGTCACTTACAGTATCCGCTTATTTCCTGCTGATTGATGACGTGCACTGTCGACCAGAGGGAAAGCTTTTTGAGGCTGTTCTAAGCTTTGTTAAATTGGTTAAATTGGCCCTGACCAGCTTCTTTCATATCCTTTCACTTACCACCAGATAAAGCCTTCCCCCGCCCGACTATGGGAAATACAGCCACCAAGGAGGCAAGACCTCCCTTATTATCCGTTTCCAGTCGGCACAGTCATGGTCGCGGCTCGACCAATGCTTCCGGGGCCAGTGGAAGCCCAGGCCAGCAACATGATCAATCGGAGAATCTGAATCCTGGTGTCTCACCGAGGCCATTTCGTGGGAGTCGACCGGATCTTTCTTTCCTTGGGATCGGTCAAGGGGTTGATAGAGATGCTCCTGTTGAGAGAAGGGAAACAAAACAGGAAAGGGAAGCGAGACGGCTAGAAAGAGACCGTATCGCCAGGGTTAAGGAACGAGAACGCAGCATGAGAGAAGAACATGTGGATGGCGGCTATTTGGTTACACAGGGCATTTATCCTGGCCCAGAGGATTTCAACAAAGCAATTGTACGCCAATTAATGGTATGAGTGTGTTCTTGCGAGGCCTGATATCACTAATCTGGCCATATACGTAAACTAACATTCTGTCTAGATTGAACGGCGACTTGCGCCGTTTTGGAAAGGTTTAGAGGAGTTTTCAGAGTCATGGACGGAGCATCAACTGATGGCTGCGGCGAGAGGGCTTCCAATCCCGGCTCCTGATGAGATCCCCCCTGAATTAGAATATAAACTCTGTCCACAGGCTCTAGAAGGGCAGGATTCTCCGGACAAGAATCTAGCCAACTTGACGGTTCCCATCGCGTCCAGGTCACAGTCATACAATTCCGATACTTCTTCCGGCTCTCATCCCACATCTCCTGCCGTTCCTGTCCAACTTCAGCTCCCACCCAGTGGTTCTGGCTCATCCAGCACACATCTCTTCCGTGGTCGTGCTAAAACTTTGGTGTCCCTTGCTGCATCTTCCAGAGGACCCTTACCGGCAGAGATGGCTCCAAGGGAGATGCAACTTCCAAAGGACCCATTTGTTAATGGGCAACCTATTGAAGCGTACCTCTATAAAAATCCGACTGAATGTCCTATCTGTTTCCTCTACTATCCCCCTTACCTCAATAAAACAAGATGCTGTGATCAAACAATGTGTTCGGAGTGTTTTGTCCAAATCAAACGAGCTGATCCCCATCCCCCGGAACGGCGACGGCGCAGCCAAAATGTACAACGCAGCCAAAACGTACAGCCCAGTCAAACTGCAGAACCACTCTTCCAAATCCCACACCTACATTCTACATCCGCACCACCTGCAACACAAATCCCACAAATCCCACAGCAAGACGTGCAACTGGTATCCCAGCCGGCTGCATGTCCTTTCTGTGTCCAGCCTGACTTCGGTGTTACCTACTCCCCACCTCCTTTCCGAAGAGGTCTTAGCTACATCCCCGGTCACAGTCTGAATAATATTTTAACCACACCAGCATCATCCTCATCGTCCGTCGCGGCTGGGAATGCGAATTCACCATCCGTACCCACACGTCATCGCGCAACTTCACTATCTGCAAATTCCCCTTTTGTCATAACAACAGATAAAATTCGCCCGGATTGGGCTCAGAAACTCCAAACGGCACGTGCACAGATAGCTAGGAGATCTGCAGCCGCAACCGCGTTGCACACAGCTGCGTATTTAACGCGTAATACCAGTGATTCTAGAGGTACGGGAAGCAATAGAAGGCGTATGTTCAGACGAACAACTGGTCATGGATCAGACAACACAACTAACCAAACTGGCTCTGTTGCTCTCTTGACTGAGCGACGGGCCTCTACTACAGGTCGCGAAAATGAATCTCCAGCGAATAGTATAATCAATATAGCTCCTGCTCGCCCCAGCACGAGACGGAGTAGAATGGACGAGCTCGAGGAGATGATGATGATGGAAGCTATAAGATTGAGTCTTGCGTCTGAAGAAGAGAGGAGAAGAAAGGAAGAGAAGGAGGCCAAGAGGGAGGCCAGGCGTCGAGAAAAGGAAGCTAAGAAA